CGGCGAATCCGTAACGAGGCAGTTAGAGAGCGTGTTTTCGGCTGTGTAACGGGTACTTCCATTGAAGAATGTGTCCAGCACCAGAAGCTGCGTTGGTTGGGACATGTGTTGCGTATGCCGAACCATCGCTTGCCGGAGAGAGTGCTGTTTTCCATGCCCAATTCAGAGTGGCATAAACAGAGAGGTGGCCAACCCTTGACTTGGCAGAGGAGTATGAAGGAGATCACGAAAGGCTTGGGTGCTGTCGGTGCTACTCGCGTTCCAGGATATGGACCGCGTGATCCTCTGTGCCTGGTTGGAGACACTACACTATATGGTTGCCAATCGATGTCAGTGGCGTTCTTGTTGCTACATTCTATCCAGACTGCCTGAGTGAATGTCTGGAGGTGTAGGCACCTCGAAATGATTGTGTTAAGCTAGCACTAAGTCCCTCCTCCATTCACCTTTATTCTTTTCTTTACAATAAGGCTTTCAAACGACTCATGGTTGTACGGCAGTGAAGCATCGGTGTTGAACACTGATGTCATGCTGTCGATGATGATGATGATGATTACATCGACATCACTTGCCGGTAGCGTGGGTCAATAAGTAGCTGCTGCTCGTTTGGGAACCATTGTGTGGATTCTAACCACGCACTCGTCGGAAGTCACTTCCCCCTTCGCTTACTTAGACCGAATAAGAGGCGCACAGCCAGCCTAGCCAACTGAGCTGGTAGATCCCGAAGTTAAACATCATAAACATCATCGACAGCATGACACCAGCGCTCAACACCGATGCTTCACTGCCACAGCTAAACGAACTGATCAGAACCGTCTTCTGGACATTTCCGACTGTCTCATTATCGGAGGTCAAACCTTGATAGAACGGGATCACCACATTCTCGTACAGTGCCGGGAGTTCCGCCTGTGGTAAGGTCTCAAGAAGCAACGGATATCAAACACAACGGTGGCACCAGTTGAACTCCTGGGAAACGTTTCCGACGATCCCGAACATAATTCAGCACGACGAATCATCGGAAATTAAGTGACAGTGGCCGTGCGTGCCGACCGAGAAGCGATGTACACGAAATGCTAAGGGAATAGAAGAAGCGAAAAATGCCCGAAGAGTACTTCGACTGGTTCATGTGACTGGCCTGTAAGCGAAACCAACAAGGATTAGTGGTACGGCAATCTTCAAGCAAGAAAGACGCCTTTGGGAACAATTCCTTAGCACACACGAAGTTCAACTGGCCAATAGGAACGAGGCGCGGTCCTTTTGGATTAAGGTGCAACATGGCAGACAGGGTTCTAAATTTAAAAAGTTTGAAATTTTCAGAAAACAAAATTGGCAATAACTCGACAAGTAACCAGTTTTTGGGGATACTGATATGCCCAACATGGTCCGAATAACCTTTCACACTAATTATTCAAGAAAGGGAGTCATCGCTTAACTGATTTACTTGCTTGCATCTACGAAAGGGACTCTCCGAGACAACTGGATAGGATGGGTAATGGGGACGAGATGGCTCCAGTAGTTACAGCGCGAATTTACTGGCCGGAAGGTCCGTGGTCCGAATCCGACCTTTGCCTCTCGACTTCCCCAGTCTAGGCCTGGGCAACTTGGCAGTATCCCAACCGTCGAGCCTCATTCGTGTGGCACGGCAGCTAGGCACCGAAAGGGTGTTACAGCTGAACGATGGGTAATGGTGTCAATTTTCAGAAAAGGGGGTCATAGTGAGTGCGGTAATTCCCGGGTGATCAATAGTCCTCCTTATCATCATCATCATCATCATCAAGGACAGCAACATCAGTGTTGCCATTGATGCTTCACTGCCGTACAACCATAAGGTTTGTCTAGTTATATATATATATATATATATAATTGTATTAAAAGCCCTACAGAGAAGAGAACAGAAAAAGAGTGGGTGAGGGAGGGGACCTAGTGCTGGCCTATGTCAAGCATACTGAGGTGCCTACACCTCCAACCGCTCAATCAGACAATCTGGAAAGAAACTGACAGCACGAACGCCACTGACATCGATTAGCCGCCATTTCTTGCAACGTCTCCAGCCAAGCACAGACGGGGTCACGGGGACCCCATCCTGGAAGTCGCACAACACCAATAACACCCAAACTCTTCGTGACCTCTTTGACGCCTCTTTGCCAAGTCATGCGCTGTTCACCTAGCGGTTTGCGCCATCCTGACGGAGGCACGGAGAGCAACACTCGTCTCGGTAGACGGTGTTTCGGCATGGGTAGCACATGACCGAGCTATCGTAGTCGATGATGTTGGATGTTTGCCCGGATTGAGGTACCTACAGCACAACCAAATACCCGTCTCCTAATCACCTCGTTACTAACACGCTGACGCCATTCAAAACCAGCCACGCTTCTGAGGCATCGGTGGTCGAAAACCTGAAGACGCCTCACATCATCTGTCCGCAGAGGCCATGTTTCGCACCCCTTACTGTAGCCTGGTAAGATCTAGTGAGATACTTTTTTGACGCCACAAATGATGCAAATTAGAAACGTGAAGGGAGCCTTGGAGATTCCTGCACTGACTTCATCAGACACACTTCCGTCAGAGCTAATATAACTATCGAGGTGTGCAAAATTTCCCACAATCTCCAGTGATTCTCCTTGAATTGTAAGGGATATGTTCACAGATGGCACGTTCTGAAGCATGACTGCACTTTGAAGGCGCAAGGCGCATGCCAAACGATGGTATGATGGTCGTCAGTCTATTCAACAGGACTTGTGCTTCACTTCCGTCTTCAAAGATTAGGGCAATGTCATCTGCGTATTTCAAATCGACAAACCTCCCCAGCAACAATTTGAACACCGTCCAGCGCTCGCCTCGTTAGTTCATCAATGACGAAATTGAACAAGAATGGAGAGAGTGGACATCCTTGTAGGTCACCACTTTTGTAGGGAAGCTTTTGGAGAGCTCACCTTACACTCTCACCCGCTCAGGAGTATCTGAATATAGGGATAGGATTATGTTGACAAACTTCTGGGGTATACCCTGTTGAGCAGGTGTAGTAAACAGCAATAACTGATTGACAGGGATCGAACGTACCCTTGAGTCAAGGAATATCACACACCTGACGGAGTGTGAAGATACGGTCAACGCAGCCTCAACTCGGTCGAAACCCCGCTTGATTCTCACGAGTCAAGGTCTCGCGTGCCAACATAAGACGACGAAGAATCAGTGACGCCGGAAGCCTTGTCACAACAGGCGTCAAACTAACACTTCCGTGGTTACTACATTCACTGCGAGTACCCCTATTGAAAGTGGGCACCCAAGTTGTCTGAAACTGCCTCTTCTCCCAGATGGACCCGAATAGTCTAGACAGACACTGGCTGAGGCGGCCACCATCATCCATCAAAGGAGCAGGTGGAAGGTCGTCAGGACCACCAGAACGATGACGCTTGAGTAGATAAATGGATTGTGGAACTGAAGGCGACTCCATATGTACGGTTCGTCTCACTGCTGAAGGCCAGGTTTCTGGATTGAAGGTGGCAGATGGCCAGTTGAATTGCTGTTCGAAGTACTGTGCCTAACGGTCCAAATGTTCTGCTTTGCTGCATATAGGGAGCCATTTGGGTCTCTGAATATTTTGCTGACAAGAGGTTTCCGAGGGCCAGTCGAACGAATCAAGTGGAACAGCTTGCGCACGTTTCCAGCATTCTTTGTACCAGGAATGTCATTTTCCTGAAAGTAGCCCCATAACGTCCGGAACTTACTGTGGCCCCAAAACTCCACCAACATCTCAATAGGGAAGCCGGCAAGCATCCAAGCGTCGACTGTTCAATCGATTAAGCAAAAGCCCATGAGTGTTCATCCACGACACAGAATTCCCGACCGAATGTGATCAGCGTTATTTCATAAGGGCACGATTGATGTTGATGTGTGTTCACTAATGTCTATCAGACAGCCAGGGTCAATGTCAGAAAGTCCCCCTTAAATAGCGTGAGGCCGTTGTAACTTTTGCTCTCGCAGCAGCGTACAAGTGCATGGTCGGAGTTCACGCCTGCGTTCCTAAAGGAGCGGCAGGCGAGGATCGACCCTCGCCACCGATAACTGACGGCGATGTGGTCTATTTGGATTCGGTGCTGGTTTGATGGTGGGCACCACCTTGTCAAGCGATTTCCGCTGTTCCGGAAATTCGTACTGCGAAGAAACAGCCTGTGATCGGCACACATCTGAAGTAAGCGATCTCCGTTGTCCGTGCGTCTCGTGTCCAAACCAAGACAACCACCTAATCGGGCCCCCGCAGCGCTTATTCTACCTACCTGGGCGTTCATATCACCAGCAACCAAAACGATATCTGAGCCTTTAGCCTGCTGTAGAAGGGCACCTAGAGCGTCATAGAAACTGTCCTTGGCAGATTCAGAGCTACAGTCAGTCGGGGCGTAAGAAGAAACAATAAACAAGGTGCGATGAACCCCACTTCCTCTAGATTCTCTCACCGATGTTTCCAAACGAACCACACAGAGACGACTGTCAACGGGTATCCAATCAAGCAGAGACGCTTCCGCTCATTCGCTCAATACAATACCCACCCCAGCATATCCAGCTGCAGCGACCTCTGCATCACCAGAGGTGCGCAGTCGGAACCTTGAAGAGAGCGAGGGGGCAGTCAGTTCGATTACAGTACTTGAGTCCTGCGTCCTTGTTTCTGACAGACAACATACATCAATACAGAGGGAATCCAGCGTATGCGCAAGAGCCACCTGCTGACCTGCTTGCTTCAGTGTGCGAACGCTGAACGTGGCTAAGTATACAGACTTTCGGGGTTTGAAAAGAGACTTCGACGTATTTAGGGTTGTAACTGAACTCGGACGTGCAGAAGCTGCAGCTGAGTGTGATGCAGAGCGAGCAAAACGGTCGTTCTAAAGCTGGGACCTGCAGAGAAAGCATTCAAATTTGGAATGGGGGTGGGGGGTGAAAGACGGAAAACGTAAAAGTGTAAGAAGGGAGGCGTCAGCAGTAGCCTGTTTTTGCTTATTCGTCCTGCTGTATGCAGCAAGTAAGGCGACCCGGTTGATGGCAACACGCGATGGCCGATGTGACGTGAGAGTATTGTTAGTTGTGTAGGTCATGGTTGTACGAGGGTTGGGATACTGCCTGGGCGCCCACACCTAGGCAGGGGGCGATTATGGTCCTCAACCAAAGCCTTTGGCTCAAAAGCCCAACCGCAAGGCAGCGGTGTCGGGCTGGAAATGCAGGTACATTACCATTTTTAAGGAACACGTAGCCATACATGTTCCAACCCCCAACCTGGAGGGCCAGGAGACTGTGTTCGTCGGACCTCTACCCATGGACCGACCTGGTATGAGACTCTGAGTGTCGCGCGGACACCCCCCAGTATAGCTCAATGGGTCACCGAAGTAAACAAACCGCCACACCACGGTAAGACCCAGTATCTCCGTGACGGAGCGAACGGTATTCTAGCATAAGGAACACATGACTTAAGCAGTGTAACGCGCGACTAGCTGATCTATCGAAGGAGAATGGGATTTTCAGGAAACCATTTGGCGCGCTTCAGCATTAGTGATCGGGTTTCCCATAAAGCCAAGGAATGCTTCGGATGCACTGTTGGTTGAACAGAGAGTCTTTCGCAAGCTGAAGCCAAGTCTTTGATCACAAAGTAGGTCAGATAAAACAGAGGCACTGTACAATCTATCCTTGACAGCCAATCTGATATCACGTCGGCGCCGTGGATGTCGGTTGGCAAAAAAACCATTCAGCTGTAGCACCCTTTCGGTGCGTAACTACCATACCACCCAAAGGTTGCAGGAGAGCTGGAATACTGCCAGGTTGCTCAAGCCTAGACAAGGGAAGTCGAGAGGCAAAGGTCGGGTTCGAACCACGGACCTTCCGGTCAGTAAATTCGCGCTCTAACCACTTGGGCCATCTCGCCCTCCGGAGGTTGGCAAACGTTGCCCTGGACCTGCCAATTCGGGAAGTGATTTAATCTTTCGTCAGACCACTGGGAATCACACAGCTGCCTAGGTAAGGAAACTTACACGACGTCAATTGGTTCACTGATGTGAATGGGATTTGGATTGACACAACCCAATCTTGCAGCGGGACTTTACACTGTACAGGAAAGAAGTGCGTCCCGAACTGTGCAACAGGATTATTTAGGTCATTTACCATAATCTAAAGGGTCTGATCAGAGAAAAAACACCGACAGCGTACTTAATGTCCTTGAGCGAACGCGCCGGTGTTAGAGGTAGGTAAGGAAACTCCAAGTAGCACATTGATTATAAGGTTGAAGAGAAGGAGCGACGGAAGGCATCTTCACCTGAAACCACTGGATGTGGTGAACTCAGGAGAACTTGCTGCCGATACGTAAGAGTCCAAGAGAGGCATATAAAACCTTCATAATAGACGAGAATCTGGAAGACACTCTTTAATCGTCAGACAGTGTCACTAGTATTACTGGATTTCCGAGGTGCATTCGACTCGGTTGATCGATCTGTTCTCCTTGAGACGCTTGCCCATCAAGTATTGCCCCGGAAGTTTGTAAACATAATAGGTCTTTGTATTCTCAAACTTCCGGACATGCGAGAGTGTATGGAAAGCTCTCCAAAAGCTTCTGTACACAAAGCGATGTCCGTCAGGGATGCCCACTCTCTCCATTCCTTTTCAACTTTGTAATCGATGAAATATTGAGAGGAAACCGTGGTGTTCAAATAGCCTGTGAAAAAACCTTGTCGATCTGGAATATGCAGACGACATCACTGTCATGTTCGAAGAGGAAAAGGCGCAATTGTTTCTGGATGAACTGATCAAAGTCCTTTGGTATGCAGTTTGCAACTACAAAGTGTAAGGTCATGCTCGTGGGCGTGCAGTCACTGAACGAACAATCATTCAGCTGTAAAACCCTTTCCGTTTAGCTGCCATGCCACCAGGAAGCACGAGGGCTGGGATACTACTACCAGGCTTGACACAAGTCTAGATGCGGAGGTCGGGTTCGAACCACGAACTGTTAGGAGGCACTCCTAATGAACATATTGCTCAACATTTCTCTCTCTCTATTTCAGCCCTTCATTGGACTGTTTTGTTCCATTCCATTCTTGATTCTTCGAATCTCGATATTGGCTGTTCAGTTGCTGCAGTATAATTTCCTCAAGGCTTTTTGTCTTCTCAATTTCGTGTGTAACTGACAAGGTTGATTGACTGATTAGTAGAGAACATAACACGAACATTCCGGACAGTAAATTCGGGCTCTAACGACTGAACCATATCACCAGTTTATCATACAGTGTTATCAAAGCAGTTTTTCACCGGAAATTTCACTTCAGAATCTGGGGCAATTACAATGGCAAAGTGCCTAATTCGATAGAGGAAAGAGCTCAAGATAGCTAGGCGGTTAAGGCGCGAAGTTACTGGCCGGTAGATCGGTGGTTCGAACCAAACCTCCTGTCTAGGCTTGGGAAACCTGACAATATCTTAGCCGCAGTGCTTCCTTCGGGTGACATAGAAGCTAGGTACCGAGAGCGTGCTACAGCTGAATGACGGTTTTGACTGGGAAGAGAGCGGTGCCTGGCGTTGATTAGTCATTCTTATCAGCTTATGGAAATGAGACTCGATGCAAAGAGCTTGTAAATGAATACTTACAACGCCTTCGGGCTGAAATTTTCGGCCAGTGGGCCCAGGTGATCCAGAAGTCGGCGGGTAACAGCAGCAGGCAGTAACATCTGCCGAAAACCTTTTTATCAAGTGTTAGGAGTCGATAAAACTGAGTCCGAGCTCAATTCGCTGGATGAGTTTACCAGATGAAACGCGAATATGGAGGCGCCCCGGGTGTTATTGTTAGAATGGACTCTTTCTGACCGTAGGGCAACAGAATTCTTCGTGGGAGTCAACAAAAAGAGAACTAATGCTCGGAACGCGTCCACAAAACACCTTCATTTATATCGCAAATAGCAGCATGAAACTACCAGTCACAATAGCTGGAGCGGACTGCTTCTGGCCGGATAACGGAAGACACACCGCCGCCCGGTGCACCAGTTCGTAATACGTGGAATAATCAAAAAAGTACCTATCGATCCCATAATATTTTGAGGACTAGGTAATCGTCCTGGCAGATGCACGAAACTGTTTCGTCTGCATAGACCCAACAAGAGTCGTAAATTGAGGACAACATTATTATATTTAGATACAGACATATATAAAACTTGCCGAAAACAAATCTGGGTTTTTCGGGACATACCTTCTAGTCAGAAAGTCAACGAACAAAACAATGACTGTGGCAAAAAGGCGGCCGAAGCCGCTGATCGAATAACGCGCGCAAGCTGTAGTGTAGCCATTAGGACGGAAGGACATGTATCGTGTGCGCAGTTACTGATTCATCGGTTCACGGCGTAGTCGAAAAAGGATTTTGTTCTTTCTTCACCAATCTGAGCGAGAAAAACATCATGACCCCATTAGTGGCATTGCGCGCGCCTTCAAAACTTTGGCTACGGAGGAAATACGGCGTTTAGTTTTCGCACGATGGAACTGAAATTTCGACTTCCACGACGTGTCCCTGATGGACTAGAAGAGACAGGTAACTGAGTACAGAGTACGAGTTCAAACTTTTGAGCCCCACCTAGGCATTCCGGGGTCTCGGCAATACTGGGAAATTATTCCACCACACTTTTCCGCAAGAGGTATTACTGCTTCAGTGGACAATGAAATTTGGTGAGCCGCAAAAATATGAGAATTTATCAGGTTGATTCTTTGCTTTAGCACAGACACAACAAAACGCGACATTCTGGCGTAAATTCTAACTCTACACGCAGCTGGGGGTGTTGTGTGGCTAATAGGCCCCTTTCCGTGCATTCACTGGCGCGAAAGGCTACTTGGCAATCCACACGGGCTGTGTCACACGGTTAGACCGTGCGGGAAGGTTCGAAAGGCTGATAAACGCGTGCTGGTTTTTGTTGATGGATGGCATCTTGGTGCACAGTTGGAGAACTGCTTATGTTGGTATGAGAGATCCGGTGGCATGTATGTGGTTGGGAGGCCAAAGATGTGTAAACTAGGGTAGTCACATATCACGTTGGATCCCAGGTCCGGTCGACACCTGAATTTTGTGTAATTTGCCAACTGTGTCGCTTAACAGAAAAGAGTTGTGTAAGTAACACGTCTATATCAGGATACACGTTAATTAAGTGCCATTTAGTCAGTGGGTGTAATTTTATGTCGATACATTATGTGATATGATTCATGAACGCCGATAGTAACTCACTGGCAGAAGACGTTCGCTAACAATTACGCGACTGGCAGTGGATGAAGGGCACAGCCGGGGAGAAAAACAATTAGTGGGAGGCTCTGCTGACTGCTCGAGGGGTGGACACAACGGATTCGAGACGCCCGTTGCAATATGGAGCCAGTGGCCTTAACTTCGCTCGGAAACAATGGCAGCACACGCAAATTTATATATCTACTTCAATAACTATAGGTTTTTCACGTTGAGGGGCTGTTACACGGAACTCCTCCATGGCAGTCATCAAGAATCATGGTGACGAAGCAACAATAAACCACGGTGATTTCAATCCTCTTATTGTTTGGCTTGCTCTAGTGCGTCAAAGGACTTACATAGGCGCAGCAAGTATAAACACCTAATGCCCTTAATTTTGCATTTTCGAAAGCATGAGACAGTCTGTGATATCTGATTCAATTCAAATTCAGGAAATAAGGTCAATTTGTACAGAGTCCCATTCACGGGTACCAGCCTCAAGTCCGTCTGCACTATTCGACATGTCAGCCAAGTCGGTTTGGAGGATCCCACCTCGCCAGGGCCTCAGTCAGTATAGTTCCCTCTGCTGTAAGAAATGGACTAGACTGGATGTCATAGTCCTTAGTTTAGCAAAGCCTTGTGAGGCAAGTTCCATTTAGGTAACCTCCGATGCTTTCGTCAGCAGCAGTGTCGAGCGATAGTTCAGGTGGGCGAGTAGTTCTTGTCGAGCCTTGTACATTTTGTGAATAAAAGTATAGCATGTAGAACCAGTGCTCAGTTTGTTTTTCCTTCTCGGATGTGCTGGTGTTACGCGCCACGTGAAGGTACCGTTTGGTTGTAAAGTGACATTTAGCTGCCATGGGCCCTGGTTACCATTTTTGAAATTTCCGGTATACTACTGAAATCACCCTTAGATTGAGTACCCTGGGGGCATCTTAGTGAACCTATTTTTTCTTTGCAAACTACAAGCGTTTCGCGAAAGATCATTTAACTCGATCCTTCTCATGGATTGCCAATGATGTTGATCCAAATACCCCACTGTGTGTCATGGCCTGTAGGTGTTGTTGTCCATCAAGTATCTTTCTCTTCATGAACTGCTACATCTTGCCGCAGCTTTCTTTAGGTGAACCATGTCGCCCTCGTTTTGACATTACAAGTCGATGAGTTTTCAAGTCGAAAGCTCGCTCGTAATACGGCTGCTCTTTGTCTTCCCTTCAGTAAGCCTGTCCAGGGCTGGCGATAGGCTTGTTAAACAGTACCTTAACTAAGCCGCAAAGCTTGAGGTCATGTGGGTGTGTTCTTATGTATACCCGCTAAAGACCTGTGAGCCACTGATACCGCTCAGTTCCAGGAGGGATAGTTAGGCTTACGAGCCTTAGCTTCACTCTAAACCATGCTCGTTCTGTGCACAAAAGCCTCATTTGTTATCTCGCAGTCTCTCGGCGAAAACTTTTCTCCGGCGAGGATTTCTGAAGTTCATCCGGATCTGATGGCGAATTCTTCGTGATCACTCTTGGCATTACAAAACCGGTACTGTCTAAGACCCCGGATCGCGCCTAGCTCCAATGTATTGGTTCACCAAGCCTCAACAAATGGAGGCAAGATTTTCGGCTGTCATTTAGCCCGGGAACAGAATATATTGCTAGATTTCCTAGGTAATTTATTGACGTCGGAAGCACCAACGAGATCTAAGCTTGCCCTCTCGCCAACTCGTTCTTTTGCCAGCAATTACGAACGAATTGTTTACTCAAGCACAGCCGCCTTTAGAACGAGTACCATCTAACCCACTGAGTCCCTCGTTCGGACTTATCCATACTGGCTTTGCGCTTTAGGTATACCTCTTTGACATGTTCAACGACTTTACTTAGGTTGCTAGACTGGCCCTGCACACTGCCAGTTCCTCTCCCTAGCAAACAACATTTACAACCGGCCATTCCCGAACAGTGGCGTCAGTGAGTCTACCTTTCTTTAGCGCAAACCATGCTTTTGAGACGAATATTGCTGTTTGTCTCTTCTTTGAATGTATTCATCTCTTCCTCTCTACTTGTGAGAGTCTGATTGACCGCCTAATTCTCTTGCCTGCAAAACACAGAGAGTGGAAATAAACGTTTTACGCCGAGATGTTGCATTTTGTATCGTATGTGCTCAAACCAATAACTATCCTCTTCTACCTTCATATTTTCGCAGCTCACCAAATTTGCTGCTCCACTGAAGCAATCATTCCTCTGGTGGAATTCATTCCTAGCATCTCTGAGATCCCGGGCTGCCTCTGTGGGGCCAAAAAATTTGGACTCTACTCTGAACTCCGTTGCCTGTTCACTTTAGTCCACCATGGACACGTCGTAGCTTTCGAAAATTCAATTCACAATTTTCGAATAGTGAATGCCCACTTGTGACTTTGGTGACTTTGGCCATTTATTCACCCGGTCAAGGTCGTTCATTACCAGCAACGGTTTTTCAAATCTGGTTCAAGTCAACCAGCCTCATCATTGATCTGTTCGTAAATTGAGCCTGATCGTTCCTACTATTTTGTTTTTCACAGTCTATGATTACTTACAACATGGTAAGCCCGTCTCTTTGATCTTACATTACCCTGTTGTGTCGTTGTTCGCCTTGTCCATATTGTGAAGTCTGATCATGCAACAGCTATTATACTCCCCACGAGTTAGGGAAAATCTATTATTAACGCTGACCTTTTGGGTTCTACATCGTTTTCTTGCGTGCCGCGTTCCACTGACGGATTCTATGCGTATCGGTAACACTTCCCTATGAGGGTCATCCTTGGGTCGGCATCAAACTTCTACCAGGTGCGCCTTGTTTTGGTTGATTAAATGTGGAAATGGCCAGCAGTCTACGGTTTAGTGATGGGATATCTTTTTGTGTGGCAAAAATGTTTCTTCACGAGTTTCAGAACGTTTACAATAGAGCCTTCCCAAGCCCACTGCACCATATCACTTCGCATCTGTAGTGGCTTTTCGATGTTTTTATGTTGTCCTCCGAGGTAAAATGTGTAACTCTCTCGCGGTGCATGTCTGCTAATCATGATGACCCCTTACTCCTTACGGGTGTTTGTTACCTAGTCAGAGGTACACTGAGCATTGCGATTGGAAACAAAATTATCGTGCCCGCTTCGCCGCTGAGGAATGTATCGCTTTCTTGGAACCACACTTGTGGTTCACCCAACACCACGTCGAAGATTGTCTGACCACCCCTGGTTCACGGCAGTGTTCATCAGCTCCTCTCCTGGTATCTTTAGCTTTAGTTCTAGCGCCAACACGTAGCCCAGCCATATGCTCAAAGTCCTGTGGTAAAATCAAAGCCATGATAATACCAACAGTAGATCACCTCACTGAAAAACCTCATTAGCGTCCTCCTATGCTGGGCGGGGGACCGCATCTCCCTCTTAGTCTATGCCAAAAAAGAAAAATGAAAAACAAGAATAGGGACATGTTATGAGACCGTTGGGAAATAAAGCAGTAAAATGCCAAACCTTGTTATGCTCAAGCATACTGAGAACAAAAAGTGGTATTTATTTTGCTAAATTTGCTAACCAATGACCAGGCAACAACAAAAACGATTGAGTCATTGGCTGAACCTTTGTTCTCAAGAAGGATTTATCCAAAGTGAGAGAGGGCAGCAGCCTTTGCAGCGGAAATCGAGTTTCCGCGAAAGCCAAATAAACTTGCCTTTACTCCGGTTAGAAACCATTGATTGTGGCGTTTTAAGTGACTAGGCTGCAGCCGCTGCCCCAAACATGATGCACAAAGCCATGGCTAACAATACCTTACGATGGAGGACTGCCAGAGACTGAGATTCGGTGAACTTCGGAGCTGGCAAGTAGTCCCACTGCAATAGGTTAAAGATTTGCACCATGGATCCTCAAACTAGGGTTAATGTCGGTTCAAATTTAAGAATGGGGATCCAGAAAACTTGACTGAATCAGGGACAAGGTTGTCATGGCGGAAAGTGAGGGATAGGTCATATACCTAACATTCGTTGGCGGAACTTACCTGGCAGCCAGTCGAAGAGAGTAAGAAAACAGTGCCTGATGAGCCCCAAGAAGGGCGAAACCGGTCGTGCGCTGTCGAAGAGTTTTCAGCAAACTTGTGAGTAGTTTTCTTTATGAAGTGCCAGGTGACCTTTTTCTCCAAGGTCACACAAGAGTGAGCGAGAAAGATTCTGCAGTAGCGAACACAATATGTAGTGTCTAAAAGTTTCAAGTGCTTTGAAATATCGGTAGATGTGGGTTGGGTAGCGGTCAGCTGGGAGGGAATCTGCGTTGGTTAACCAATCATGTAGGTCGTTGGTGTAGCTGTTCAGAGAGTCGCGTTTTCGGAGCAGCCTAATACGTTAATCATGCAAGCTCAGTAATGAAATCGAGAGGCAGTGTCAAGTGAACAAGCCTTGCTGAAGAATGGCATATCTATACTCTACTTTTCACTGCCCTAAAAAGCGGTCGTGCGCTGCTGATAAATCAGGCAGTAAAGCAAACCCGGAAACCGGAACATATCGTGAAATATTACACCGGTGATTGCTTTTAGCCGAAGTTGCTGCTTTGTCATGAATTGCTGCCGGCTGAAAGAGAGTCAGCTTGAGTTGTGCAAACTTAGTGAGTCTCTCGTAGGAGAAAATTTGCTTGCGAATGAGTGCATATCAATAAAACAATTTTAAATGACATCGGGGCTGCGTTGGGGATTTGAAGGCCAAATGATTTCTCTATTTGTATTTACGACAGTTGGTGGGAAGGGTTGCAGCCCACAAGCCCAATACATGCCGGTGAAAGGCCAACTCCAAGCATGTTCATTGTTTTTTAGCATAATTACTAAACTCATTGTTACAGACTTTGCTCGGAGGGCTCGAAAGACGGGTGGAAGCAAAATGCGTCGGGATAACTTAGCAAGACGAAGCTTACTTCACGAACGTACTCAACCAACAGCGCAATCGAGGGTCACCAGATATACAGGCCTGCATCCCAGCAAGCGGGTGTATCGCAACTTGATCCGGGCTAGCAGCTATTTTACCGGAAAATAGAAACCCCAGGCCAACAAATAGGTTCATTCAATTCAAATAGACGGCCAACAGAAGATCGCTGGTTGATATTCGTTCTGGCCAGAATTTAGTGTGTCTGTGATGATGTGCCGGAGCTAAATGGACTAGAAGCTATCGCAACAAAATCAAGACAAACATCCAGCCGTCCGGAAATATTTTCATACTTTTATGTCTAAAAACACCAGGCACTTCCTACGCCGGTGGTTTCGATAACCACATTTTTACGGCCTGGTGGCTTCGGATATTACACTACGACTGGAGCTGTTGCATTATAGGAGCGGCTATCCTGTAAGTGCCGAGTTGTGGAAAAATACTAATGATCGTAGTAGATGCTGTATTGACGACCAGTTTTATAAACAAATGGGTCAATGAAAATAATTAAGTGAATAAAATGCAAATAGAAAATATCGCAATCTGCAGTAGCCGAAGAAGGACGATGGGGATTCGGGGCACTCTGGGAGAAGCGGGGACCTAATGATGTACAAACAAGCTTGACAAGTTATAAAGTACAAAGGGTCTCCAAGATCGATAGATCAGTGAGGCAGTCAGTAAGTTACAGAAGCACTTTGGTGTCTGGAGAAGATGAAAACAATTCAGAAACATGTCTCGTATGAGTCCGGCGTGAATTGCGTATGGTGCTTTTCTTATCTAACGGCGCAAAAACGTGACAAGCGCCAAGATTCGGAATTGAAACGCATACCCATGTTTGTTTAAGAAAAAATATTAACGAGCAATGTAACGCAAGATGAAACAGCCTTAACCTGATGCGGAAGAAGGGCTGCCTGGGGATGCCGATTCGGTTTATATGGGGTTCGAGTGTGATTTCTTAGTGATCAGCGTTCCATCAAAGTGAACACCGTAACGTGGGTGAATTGGATGTAAAATTGCGATTAAAAACGAGTAGGAGTCAAAATTTTGATGCATGTAATTAAAGCACGGAAGCATGGCTTTGGTTTATCCAGTCTGATGCTGCTCCCGCAACTATTTTCTTCTTACCCTTGACTGTCACCTGTCTCCCGCTGGACCCAGTAATTGCAACTGCGAACAAATTTTTCAACCAGCCACAACCGCTTCTATGGCAAGTTCGTTCTAATCCGCTGAACTTTTTGTTATAAATAAACCAACCCGGTACTGCGCTGCAATTTCAGTTTGCCTCTTCCATAAGTTCAATGATTTCATAAGCAGTGTTCATTCTGCACCATCACCCTATCGAAAATACCCTTTACATCTGACCTTTCCAAAACATGCCATCAGTGAGTCTACACAATTTTTATTTAAACTATATTTTTTAGACAAAACTTGCCATTTGTCTTCACTTCAGATTCATTAGTCTCACTCTTTACGTTTACTTTTTGGTACCCTAGCCATTTACTGAATCGCCCATGGTCAATCATGACCAGCAACAATTTTTAAATTTTGGTTTAAGTCACCCGGGTTCATCATCAAACTCGTTCTCGTTTCTCGTTCGTTGTACTTTCTTCTCCGTTGTGTTGGTATACGCGGCGTCCAAGTTGTAACGGTTGAATCATGCGCCGACCGGCATGTCCCCTAAACGTCGTGAGATAATCGTATTAGTATTAATAATACTTGGAGCATGAAAATCTCGATGGAAAGCTGCTACAGAGTCCGGGAATGTAGCACGCGGGAGGAATTAATATTTTTCTGCCTGGGCCAAAATCTCCATAAAAGGAGAAAACGCGCAATGGAGAAGCGAATTATTTATTATCATCCAGGAAGAATCGCCTCGGGATATCTATGATTACTACGCGGTATGCTGGCGGGACCAGCCGGATCATTGCTTGTGCCTGGCAGCCAGTGGATTTGCAAGCACTTTTTTGGTCAGTGCTGCTGGATGTGCTCCATGACGTCGTTAAAGACGTTTTCTCAATTAGTTTTACACTCGACCCTGCTCCAGCAGCCACACTAGTGAGTCGCTCAAGTTTTGTTGCACACTGTGATTCTGAGTTTCCTGCCACCGTTTGTCCGTACTACACATTACCCCACTTCACCATCCCCATTTACGCTTTCCGTAGCAATACGCCTTACAGCCCAAGGCCATGAAGCCCTAGTGAAGGCTTTGGGCTTTAGTTCAAATTGGCCGGCCACGTCGTGGCAGTTCTGCTGTCTCTTCAGATCCATCATTCAGGCCCCACACTTCCTGCAGTTCGAAATTTTTCTTCTTTGTCGTATTCCAGGCAGAAGGCTTTTTGTCATGCCCTCACTCGTATTGTTTTTGCCCGCCACTTTTAAATCACCTGATATGTTCTCCATAGGAGATAAAGAGCCCTTGTAATTTTGGATCCCTACTTCGTCTACCTCGTCAATGGCCACCGTTTACGTCACCATCCCTTTTCCAGGGAATTCTCATTATTCACAACCGCCATCAGTCATGCTCTTATTCTGACTGTAATACTATGATCATGCCTGACGGTACGCTACCCACCAGTTGAGAATAAACATTATTATTATTAGTATTGTTGTTGTTAGTATTATTACGGTTAACAATAATAGACATGAATGAATTGAGCTTTTAACCGGGTCGCGTGAGAAGGGAACTACTAGCATGCTTTATTATTCTTCGTGCATAAAGGTAGGAGAGGGCACTGGTTACAATCAAACGTTTACGTACTGATTCAGTAAAGATAATAAACATGTGTGTATCGTCAATTACGTTGACAATTGAAATTCCCCACATTTATTCCGTACCTATATTGTGCTTGGTGCGTGCATGTGAACTGGCGTTTATTTGTACTTACCACTTCACTCGTTTGGCCTTGACGTCATCTGGCCATTCGTGGCCAACTTTGTGCACGTGTGACTGTCTCACATGGGAGTCTGTCTGTTCCTTTGGTTTATACATCTGTAGTCCAAGTAGAAGATTTGTTTAGGACGAGTACCTACTGTCGAGGTTTGTATAATTGGTGGATCTGTCTTACATTATTAGTACCGTATAGAAACCTAGCTCCGACTTTGTTTTGCCTTCCCGGAGGTTCTGGTTTTACGCGTCACTCGAAAATACCGTTCACCAGTTAAGACGTGCTTGCTCGAAGAAGTATAGTTTTCTTAACAGCCATCAAGCTAGATGTCAAACTCGATCCAGTCTTCAAGCGCTGGGGACGGGATAAGGACAGACAAGGGCTGTAATTGGGAGAGCAACAAAAAAAGCAGAGTATGGGTGGAACCAAACTTTTCAGTTTGCGGGAATACCCCGCGCAATGGTGAAGCAACTCCTTTGGGTGCGTCGTACGTGTGAGGTTACCGCGATTGCAGGTAGCATAAATCATTCACTGAGAAAAATGTGGTATCGGTTCAGCTGTTTATCTTAAGGTGGCGTTCTGGCAAGGGTAAGTAAATCGCAGGAGGCTAAAAGGTCTGCAGAACTGAGAAATAATGGATAGGCACAAATTAACTCTGGTTACGAGGGCTGGGGAAACCACTCTTAAGGGCCAGCTAGAGATGCACAGTATATTTATAGGACGTTAAGGGGCACGCCTAGTGGAATCCAAGTCAACTGTGGGCACATGGTATCGGGAAGTGAATAAAAGGTCTGTGAAATGCAGAAAATATTAAATGTCGGCCAGATGGTGGTGAAATCTGGAGTACAATTTAACAAAATCGTACAGAAACAGTTGTTATGGGAGAATGGTTATAAAGTCACTGCATTTGACAGGAGGCAAAAAGCGCGGGATTGCTTGAACTTGATTTTTGCTTTGGGGAGCGTGTTTCAGCATAGGGAGCAATGTCTACCTGAAAATGACACATTTCATTAGGAATTTTGGTGGAAATTCTCAGGGGATTGTAATGTGATTCAAAATACAATGCTTTTAGAAGATCTTTTCTTGAAGACACGAAGACGTCTTTAGTTTTGTAGTGCCTTATGAGAAGTATGAATAGCAATCAAATGAGACGACTATGGTTGCCATTCGCGGGGCATATACTAGCCAGGTCACATCGCACCTGAGATAAGGGTTCTGAACTTGACCATCGTCTTCTGATATGGTGAAGTAGATTGTTAGAATTTGGATACTTTATCCGAACGCAAGAAGTGGCTTTTGTGCTAACTTAATCGCACTACCGTGATAGATGTATGAGGGCTCTGCAAACATACACAAATTCATGTGGATCTTCACGGAGAAACTGAGGTTAGGGTTGTTTTGTATGGAAAAATGAACGGGTGTGAAGGAGTTCCAAAAAGTCCTGAGCAGGTTGGGAGGGAAGTATGTGGAGCGAATGATGGTCTGACCCTGTTGATCCTCTGTAAGATGACTGGTTCAAAAACTCCTGTGATTTTCTGTCTTCAGACGCGGGGTTTGAGGGGTCCGCGAATCTTGTAGTATTGAGAGTGGAATTGGAAGTGGAAAACGATTTTATTAGCCAAGACACAAAACGTTCCGTTGGTAGTGAGAGATGACAGGCAGAACGAGTGGAGACCAACGCCGAAGAGTGTACCAAAATCCGGAGCGTGCGCAGTGCAGGCGGCCTTTTCAGGAGGACTTGGCAGTTTGAAACAGGTACCATAGTTGCTTGCCTTAATTCAACGGTGTTTGTGGGGTCGCAGTCAAACAGGCTTACCTTTTTTATAGGTGGAGTTGATTGGAACCGCGTTCAGCGACGAATGAATGGCTAATAATGATACCAGCGGACAAGAGATTCAGTGGTTGTTTGTTTTTATTGATGAGCTAAACGGCTTCGCAGCAGACAGACCGATGGGATAACATCGATACATAGTAGGTCAGTGGTGAGTCGCATCGTGTCAGTTTGCAAACACATTCGCCGTCATTATCACTTACATACTGACGCAATACGGAGCATCGCCACCTTACCACACACCGTCGTGGATGGCAAAATTTTCACAACCAGACCATCCACTTCAGTGAAAAGGATACGTGTACTCACTCTGTTAACGATACCCCACTAAAGTCATTTAGGCACTTGTGAGTATTGGTCACCCAAAATGACGCTAAAAACCATACCGACCGAGTGTCCAGCTCGCTGAACAGATTAGTACTCATCTGGTCAACAGGCAGTGTTAATGCATAGGACCCATCAGTCGTTATTTGGCCAACGGTGTGGTCCTTGGGGACTAGGTAATACACAAGCCACCACCGGGATGGACGTAGTGTAGTAACTAATATATTTTTGGGGAGAACTAGTGGTACCCACAAGAAATGCCATATGCTTTTCGTGGTCAGCTCAACACTGACTTTTTTGTGCATGTGCGCATACGCGTGTATGCACTCTGCCAAGCTTGATTTCACCTATCGATTGCGGCACAGACCAAAAACGATGCCAATAACGGGTAGATGGACAGCAACGCACACTCCCGGATTTTTATTACACTCACCGTGATCGCTTATGTGGACCCCGAGACCTCGCTCTTTTTATCAGCTGCACAACTTAAGTATCTGTCGTTCAACTGAATATTGCTGGACATATAAAGAAGGCTTCAATCGCGACAAAGGCACATCTTTTATTGCAGATAGAGTGGGACGTGGCCGGGTAGGACAAAAATAGGCGTACGGTTCATTAAACCTTCGGAAATACACGTAATGAGGCTGCCGTTGGTAAGACGGGCCGGCAACAGCCGGCGATGCAAAAAGCTCCGAAATGGTTGGTGTCCACAAAAGCCCAATGTGCGGCCGGTAAGGAAGATACTTGTTATATTTTTGATCAGGAATCTCGACGACGAGGGCGCTGAGGTTGACGGCGATATATTATCTGACTGGTTGTTGATCAGGTGATTGATTATCTATTGGCCGAGCTTTGCAGTTGGCTTGCAAACGTTTTCTCGCCCTAATAACAGGCAGCATTAGTACAAAGTTTGCCATTGCCAAGCTCGGCGGTCAGATCAACAGCCACCTGATCAACCAACGATAAACTCATCCGAGTCAAAAATATTTCAACTCATATTTGGCTGAGTAAATTATTTACGCTGAAGAGAAACGGTTTTCATATATGTGCGAACACCAGGTGCTGTGGCAATAAAATCTATCTTCGCTGGATTCATGAGGACCTGACTTGGAGCACTCGCATCCAAAAAGAAAGGCCAGGCAAGCAAACTGAGGGGCAGAAGCTAGACCTTTGATGAAACCGGGGTAAAGTGTACTATTCTATACCCTTCGTGGTAATTCTGGTGATAAAAAAGGTTCCTGGAAATAACAGGCACGGGGAAAACGGGCAACATGACACCTCTTTGAAGGTAGGGAGCAACCATTTGACCAAAAATCGAACTAGAACTCAACCCAAACAAACAGTTGCATATATGAAATGTTTCGCTATTTTAGTCTCTAGTGCATTCAATAGTGGTTATCCAGATGGCTGTTAATTTTTCACCAAGGGAGACAATTGGATCGCGAGCTTTTTCACATCAGTAGAAGTGACGTTAATGCGCAGCTACATAGTTATTTCCTCCTTGACTGCTTGAGTTCATATAGCCCCTCAAAAACTAATCTCTTCCACCGTGGCAAGCTGACGAAGACCCATCGTCCTCAGAACCCCACTGGTTCGCCTCGACTGGTGTTACCTTGTGTGTTGCGCTACTTACATCTAATCAGTGCGTCGAGTGATTTCTGTCTAAGGGCTTTTTTATTTCTGGGCTGACTAATGTGTAGATGATTTTTTATGTGGTGGTCCGTCCCCTCTCCATCGGACTTTCTCTTACAGTGGATTCTATTTTCACTAGTTCGACTTGATTGATCCGTTTTGACGTTTCGTTGCTTTATAGTATGATTTTCTTAGGTTTTTTACTTTTTCTTGAATGGGTGCGTTTTTGCCATGAATGTTTGGATGGTAACTTACATGCAACTGACAAGCTGAGCAATTCTAGTCATTTTAAACAATCGGCTCCTCTGGAATCATCGTAAACATTTGATTTTGCACCAAAATCGAGCATAGCTCAGAATAACTAGGAGCGTTTTCAAGGAACGTAGTTATCTTGGCAACTGCTGTTTCAGGTTAGCCCGGCGTCTAAAATCATGGATTTACGGTGACCCGAATGCTAATGTATGGCAGCGCTGGGGCCCGGCTTTCCATGTAAGGCTAGCTTATGTAAGTAGATGCTGTCTGCTTTGCGTTTCAAAAAACGCCACATAATTTTCCCTTTACGTTAGATGAAGTCAGAAAAGCCCATTATGAGGTCAATGGCTCACCCAGGTACATGAGCTCACGTTCTCTACAGAAGGTTTGTGGGTGAGCATCAGTACGGCGGAGTGAGGTTATACCTCGCAAATAAATCGTGTTGCAGCTTGTGGGGAAGTCGAATTTTTCATGGGCTTCTAAAGTCATGCAGCAGATCTTGTGACAAGTAGAAATCATGAAGCGTTTACCTCCTGGCGCATTTTTGAATGTCAATAAAAAAGATCAGCAAGACTTCTGGTCCGATGTCCGGAACACTCGTTTATGGCTTCCGAGGGTCTGGGAAAAGAACGTGGTTTCCAAATACGCACGGGATATTGCTGCACAATGCTCCAGCGCCTGCATTAGTGGCGAATAAGGCAATGCTCAGCGCTTTAGCAGTGCCCAACTCGGCTCCTGTTCGGCTGTATGAGGGATGTGCTACGCCTTAAGTGAAACCGCCATATTACTATTCTGCGGATTAATGAGCGATCCCATAGCCGAATGAACTAGAATAATACCAGCTGGAGCAAAGTGACAATAGTAACCAATAATTCCATTGAACCGGAGAACAGCAGCTGTGGTTGCCAAAGAAAGACACGGATTCACGGATTGATACACAGGATTGAGGCTATTGCCCAGGTTTCCAGGGTCGCTTTTGTTCTCGTCGGTCAGTGGCTGTCGTTCACCTGAAAGACACAAGTGAAAAAAGGGTGTAGCACTGCTCTTTGGGCACTCAGTACGGGGCAGTATGCTCGCCATCGCGAGGATTCGCATAAATAAGTGTCTAACAGTGCTTTGAACTGGGTTCTAGGAGTGTGAACAACCGTCGGAGGAAGGTCAGTTCACGCAGCTACTACCCGAACTGAGAAAAAAATTTGTCAAATGAATGTTTGTGCTCAGAGCTTGGAGCTTATCTCACTATGCCCCCGCCGTGTGTTTGCGGGTCAACGGTGAAGAGACTGTTTGCCAGGCTTTGTTCAAACAGGGCATAAGTAAGAATTAGGTCCCCTCGGAGGCGATGCTACTCCAGGGGAAAGAGATCAAGCATCGCGAGACGCGTTTCGTAGTCTACGGATTTGAGGCCGGCAACCATTCTCGTGGCGGCTTTCTGGATATGCTCAGTGGGGTGACGTCGTTCGTGCGTCCTGAGTAGACAACTTGGTTGGCGTACACCGGGAGTGGTCTGACGTAGGCCCCATAGCGTATTGTAGACCTTTGATGAAACCGGGGTAAAGTGTACTATTCTATACCCTTCGTGGTAATTCTGGTGATAAAAAAGGTTCCTGGAAATAACAGGCACGGGGAAAACGGGCAACATGACACCTCTTTGAAGGTAGGGAGCAACCATTTGACCAAAAATCGAACTAGAACTCAACCCAAACAAACAGTTGCATATATGAAATGTTTCGCTATTTTAGTCTCTAGTGCATTCAATAGTGGTTATCCAGATGGCTGTTAATTTTTCACCAAGGGAGACAATTGGATCGCGAGCTTTTTCACATCAGTAGAAGTGACGTTAATGCGCAGCTACATAGTTATTTCCTCCTTGACTGCTTGAGTTCATATAGCCCCTCAAAAACTAATCTCTTCCACCGTGGCAAGCTGACGAAGACCCATCGTCCTCAGAACCCCACTGGTTCGCCTCGACTGGTGTTACCTTGTGTGGTGCGCTACTTACATCTAATCAGTGCGTCGAGTGATTTCTGTCTAAGGGCTTTTTTATTTCTGGGCTGACTAATGTGTAGATGATTTTTTATGTGGTGGTCCGTCCCCTCTCCATCGGACTTTCTCTTACAGTGGATTCTATTTTCACTAGTTCGACTTGATTGATCCGTTTTGACGTTTCGTTGCTTTATAGTATGATTTTCTTAGGTTTTTTACTTTTTCTTGAATGGGTGCGTTTTTGCCATGAATGTTTGGATGGTAACTTACATGCAACTGACAAGCTGAGCAATTCTAGTCATTTTAAACAATCGGCTCCTCTGGAATCATCGTAAACATTTGATTTTGCACCAAAATCGAGCATAGCTCAGAATAACTAGGAGCGTTTTCAAGGAACGTAGTTATCTTGGCAACTGCTGTTTCAGGTTAGCCCGGCGTCTAAAATCATGGATTTACGGTGACCCGAATGCTAATGTATGGCAGCGCTGGGGCCCGGCTTTCCATGTAAGGCTAGCTTATGTAAGTAGATGCTGTCTGCTTTGCGTTTCAAAAAACGCCACATAATTTTCCCTTTACGTTAGATGAAGTCAGAAAAGCCCATTATGAGGTCAATGGCTCACCCAGGTACATGAGCTCACGTTCTCTACAGAAGGTTTGTGGGTGAGCATCAGTACGGCGGAGTGAGGTTATACCTCGCAAATAAATCGTGTTGCAGCTTGTGGGGAAGTCGAATTTTTCATGGGCTTCTAAAGTCATGCAGCAGATCTTGTGACAAGTAGAAATCATGAAGCGTTTACCTCCTGGCGCATTTTTGAATGTCAATAAAAAAGATCAGCAAGACTTCTGGTCCGATGTCCGGAACACTCGTTTATGGCTTCCGAGGGTCTGGGAAAAGAACGTGGTTTCCAAATACGCACGGGATATTGCTGCACAATGCTCCAGCGCCTGCATTAGTGGCGAATAAGGCAATGCTCAGCGCTTTAGCAGTGCCCAACTCGGCTCCTGTTCGGCTGTATGAGGGATGTGCTACGCCTTAAGTGAAACCGCCATATTACTATTCTGCGGATTAATGAGCGATCCCATAGCCGAATGAACTAGAATAATACCAGCTGGAGCAAAGTGACAATAGTAACCAATAATTCCATTGAACCGGAGAACAGCAGCTGTGGTTGCCAAAGAAAGACATGGATTCACGGATTGATACACAGGATTGAGGCTATTGCCCAGGTTTCCAGGGTCGCTTTTGTTCTCGTCGGTCAGTGGCTGTCGTTCACCTGAAAGACACAAGTGAAAAAAGGGTGTAGCACTGCTCTTTGGGCACTCAGTACGGGGCAGTATGCTCGCCATCGCGAGGATTCGCATAAATAAGTGTCTAACAGTGCTTTGAACTGGGTTCTAGGAGTGTGAACAACCGTCGGAGGAAGGTCAGTTCACGCAGCTACTACCCGAACTGAGAAAAAAATTTGTCAAATGAATGTTTGTGCTCAGAGCTTGGAGCTTATCTCACTATGTCCCCGCCGTGTGTTTGCGGGTCAACGGGGAAGAGACTGTTTGCCAGGCTTTGTTCAAACAGGGCATAAGTAAGAATTAGGTCCCCTCGGAGGCGATGCTACTCCAGGGGAAGAGATCAAGGCATCGCGAGACGCGTTTCGTAGTCTACGGATTTGAGGCCGGCAACCATTCTCGTGGCGGCTTTCTGGATATGCTGAGTGGGGTGACGTCGTTCGTGCGTCCTGAGTAGACAACTTGGTTGGCGTACACCGGGAGTGGTCTGACGTAGGCCCCATAGCGTATTGGGAAGTCCGTGCGAGTGATACGGGAGAAGGTGCGTCGGATCATCCGTAAAATGGCGAATGCCTTTTTGGTCGATTTCTTATGGTGCAGTGAGAAGGACAAGTTTGAGGAGACCCAGATACCCAAATCCTTTTTGGCATTTATCCTCATGATGTTTTCTGGTCCTTTCTTACCATGCATAAAAACAGCATTTGCTGAGTCTCTTCCAAATGTCATATGGACGCACTTTTCGTCATTCAGAGGAAGGTGCCGGTCCAAAGACCACTGCTTGGGGCAGCGTCTACATCCATTTGAAGGACGCTGGCTTTGCAACTCCAGGATTTCAAGTCGTCCGCAAAAAGTAGACATGGACTTGCAAGAACATCTGAAAGGTCATTGACGTAGAGCAGAATCAGCAGTGGTCCAAGGACGGGTCCTTGAGTAATCCAATAGAGACCGGCGCTGGAGAAGAGTAGATCAAGCTTATTGTCGCACGGACTGACCTGTCTGATAGGACCGCCTTGCGTCAGAGAAGGATTTTCCCTTGAAACCCGTAAGACTCGAGTTTGTGGAGCAGTGAGACGTGTGGGAACCTATCAAATCCTTTTGAGAAGTCGAAAAATGTGGGGTCTCCGATATGGGTCCTTCATCCTTGGCTTGGGTTAAGCTGACCATAAACATGGGCGTGTTTGTTACGGAAGAGCGGTTTGGGAGAAATCCTTGTTGAGCTGGAGATATCAGATTGCTGGAAGTAAGGTGATCTAGGATAGCTCGCTTCAAAATGCGTTCCATCACCTTGCACGGCACGCTAGTGAGACTGATAGTTCTGTAGCTGCCAGGCGATTGTCGGTCACCAGTTTTGTAGATTGGCGTGACAATCACTTCAGTCCAAGCAGATAGAAAGCGGCCCTCGTCAGGCGGCTGACGAAACACCAGGTGAAAATGATTTGCCAGTGTGGAGGACGTTTCCTTCAGGATCCTTGGATGGACCTCGTCGGACCCCAACGCGCAGAATGGGTTGATCTGGTGCATGAGTTGACGAATGTCCTCCACCGTGAAGACCAAGTCGGTTAGAGGCTGTTCGTAGTTTTGCCCTGACAAGAGTGGATGTAACGAGGACGCCGGGGCTGAGTACACACACGCATAGTGTTCATTGTAAACCTCAGATACCACTGTTGGGTCATTTGTCGGTTCTCCGTTTCTGTCCCTAAAGGAGAACGCGGATGGCTTTTTTTTCTGCGGCGATGTCTCATGTACTTGAACAGTACGTTTTTGTTTTTTCGAACGATGTCCAGAATGGTGGCTTGTTTTCGTATGTTCCACTTTCGGATTTCCGATTTACAGCGGTTTCGCATTTTACGAAATGCCAGCTCATCTTCTGTATCTCCTGTAGTCAACTTTTTGAAAAGGAGTTAAGATTTTTTTCAGAAGTCGCTGAATCCTTTTTGGCAGCCTGCGGTTTATCCGAGTGCGTGCCGGTTTTTTTGGGACGAACGTTTTGTCAGCCTCGTGAAATTTTTGGACAGTGATCCTTTATAGTTCTTCCACTAGAGCTGGTCTCAGTGTGACTTGTTCAAGAGAGATGCGCATTCCTGAGAAGTTTGCACGGCAGAAGTCTCGAAACCCTGTTTGAGGTTCAGGAAATCCGGCCCAATAGCAGATGAAGTTAAAGGTAAGCACACAGTGGTCGCTATGTCCCAGTGGAGCGTTAATTGTTACCTGATCAACGAAGTGTCCTTCGTTGGTGATGACCAAATCCAGCAGAGATGGTAGTTGGCCTGCGCGGTATCTGGTGGGTACAACATGTTGAGTCCAAGCGCTCTGTTGAACGACTTCAATCAGCGCCGCTGCAAAAAGTCCGCTTGATTCGACGCGCTGGAGTTCCATCCAGGAGACGTTTGGGGCGTTGAAGTCACCTACCAGCAGGGGATGAGCGAAGTGGTATTTGGAGGAGAGTTGCTCAAGGTTTTGGGGAATTGGTCATATTCAGGTGAACTCGAGAGGCTACGGTAGACCACGCCGAGAAGGAGAGAGACGAACCCGCGCAGCGGGATTCGGACCCACGGTCCATCGCAAAAGAGTGCGGGGCTGGTGTCAGAGAGGACAATCTGTATTAGTAGTCCGCAGCTAAGTACACAGCAACCCCACCTGCCCACCCTCGTTTTGAGTCGTCTCGAAAAATAGAGTAACCTTCTATCGAGATCTCCGCATCAGAGACATCTGGCGTGAGCCAAGTCTGTAAGTGCGATTATGGACGGTTGTTAAAGGCAAGCTGACTGTTTAACATCGCCGAGTTTGTTGAAAAGGCCGAGGCAGTTTGTGGACAAGCATTTCAACACCGTCTCTGCTGCCCCCCAGGGCGAAGAGCCGAAAGAAGAGTGACCAGGGTGGTTAGTCAACTTATTGGTTGTGCGCCGAGTTTGAGTCCAAGGCTCCGAAGGGGCCTCTGTGGCGGTGTCGTCTGCTTCCAGTCTCTGTGGTTTCTGGGGGTGCTTTTCGCTTGCGAGGGTTTTTCATTCCGTGGGAGCCCAGTTTGCTCGAGCATTTTTGGCTTTGGGGGACGAAGTCTTTTTCCCCGTGGGCGGAAATGTCGACCGTTGCTGTTTGTAGCTCTTTCATCACCCTCATTTTTGCTACCAGATTTGTTGTTGATCTGCAGTCAGTATTAGTCCGAAAAGTGCCCTCTACCAGGCAGGGCCTATGCTAAACAATATGGCATCGAATGTTGCCAACCAGAATTTATCGTTGTTCGGATACACAGTTATTTGCTGATGAGCTAAGCCCCCGAATAAGTTTGTGTGACTGGTCCCTGGCTCGCTTTTCGAAGAGCTACCTATCAGCAGGTCTAACAAACTTGACTTTATATTGGACTCACTGGAAGTTTTTCGCTGCATTTGGAAAGTTGCACGGCTTATGCGATGTATTCCGTAGGCTACATGACGTGACAGAAACCTGTTTTGGAACGTTCTAAATGTTTACTCGAATTCGGTAGTGGGGACGCATTAAATGTATTTTCGATAACACAAGGTTGGCCACCAGGTTAACCTAGATGCAAGGGTTATTTTGTATGAGGTAACGGTTCGGGTGTTGCTGTGTTTAGCGCCTGATAATCGAAGTAGCTTCACAGAGCCTCGGAGATTTTTTGAAATATGTAAATAAATGGGACCCGTGAGCACGAAAATGTGGTCACACTCGGATCAATCTAATTTTAGTTGTCAGCGGTAAGGCGAGGCTCTTTTTTAAAAGCTTTTCGTTTTGATATGATGTTGCGTAGCGCTTTTAATTGTCGGTAGGTTCATCGGGTGTTGTAACTGCTACCGCAAGAACACAAGCATCGAAGAATCGTGACGCAGTCAATTTTAATAGCGCCGGATTGCTTTCAACCGAAAAAGCGACATATATATGCGATAGCAATCTCTGTTCAGCCATCGATGGGGCTCTGAAGTCTCTTTTTGCGATGAGATTGAGGCGGGAGACAATCTTTACCCATATTGGGTGCTTGGAAATCGGGTGCAAGGAGCGTCTATCACGTCATAAGTAGGCTATAGCCCAAGGAAAACAAGCTTCAGCCACAGATGACTATCTGCCGCTTGTCGCAACAAAAGACGTCGATGCGATAGCCTACCCAAGTGGTGCGGCCCCTAGCGTCGACCGGATGGCTTGGGAGGTCAGTGATATTACCCACTGTTATGTACTGGTGTGTCGGTCTCCGTGCTTTTGTCAAACAAGCGCAAATCACGATATTCCTAGTGGGCGGCTCCAAGTGCTCGATAAAAGGAAAAGATTGTTTGAAAACCCGGCGGGAATGAAGAAAGCTAACTCAGTGGAGGCTGTCACGACCAGTAGGTTCGTGAGATTAGTGAACAGTGAAAGAGCATTCAGTTTCTGATGCAACCTCAATGTCTAATGCGGAAGCGCAGACATATTGGTATCTTGGTTAAGGTTCCCCAGATATAGAGTGAGCACAGTCGTTCAAATCATTAAACCAAGTTTAGCGTTCAGCATAGCCCGTTAACTCGCCAGCGTCGTTATTCATATTTTCTTCAACCAAAAGTAATGGATGATCGCGTCACCCACGTTTTCATTGCCATTGGTCCGCCGTAGCCTTCGCGAACGTTGTGTAAGTTTACGGTGCTCCATTCCGTCAACTTGGATTAACAGGAGAAGAGTGAGTTTCAAGCAAGCATCAAAGCATCGAATTCACTCTAACCGCGTGGTGGTAGCGGCGTTGCTAGAGTGTGTTATTATTTTGCCGGTTCACTCTTGATGTTCAACACGCAAGTTGGTCGGCACCCCGAAACAACGGGAATGGATGAAGCTGGTAGTCGCCTCTAACGTCGTCGGTCGTGACGCACCCAACAGAACATCTTCCAGTGCTTCAGCTTCTTGTTAAAAATTCCCGCCGTGATCTCGCGCAGCACCGAAACGAAATGGTCAAGGTTGTAAACTTTCCGTGAGTTAATATCCAGAACGTGTACGAAATGCACGCCAAAACAAAACAACAACATTCGTGCTTACCCACGAGGCTTGTCTGGCCCATCATGAGCGAACGTATCAGTAAGCTAAATCTCAGCAAAAGACAGAACATAATGGCAGAAACCCATGACCCCAACCAAGAAAATTAGAGAGAAACGACTGCACGAGCGTATAGTCTATTGAAATCAGGTGGGTTACGATAAATATATAGTCCTAAATGCGCGACCAACTTGCATCTAAAACAGGAACGGGTGAAGGACGGTTTGGATAGCGGCGGCTAAAAAGGAATGCACCACACGGTTCCAACTGGCTTCATGACCAAACGTTTCAGGCCAGAGATTCTTGTATCAGCTTGACAGGCAAACTTGAACATATTTTGCTTATTCCTACGAGCGTGAACACCAGTTGATACACTTCATATGTGAACTGATTTAAGACCCCTGACGACGTAGCAGAACTCAAGCGAGAAATGTTAAGGGTCCCAAGATATTACCATGTACTGAGCATAAGGTGTCTTGCCTATAGCGATGGCAACATTCGGGGACCTCAGGAGCTTGGGCTCACCACCGAGAACCACAATGCCATTGGCTTTTGGGTGGTCCGCTCTTTTGGCTGAGGGAAGAAGTTCTGTCTTTAGTTTCACCAGTCTGCGCACATAAAGTTCAAATTAGTTCCAGAATTTCACGGATTGATATATTGTGATCCTTCTGACCATTGTACATTGGTACTTTCTTTGTAACTTATCATTACTCAAATTGTACCACTTTCTATCTCTCACTAAAATCTCAGCTTATTCCCCTTCTCTTCATACCGAATAACTTTTGTTTAAAATGAACGAAAAAGAAAAATGGAGACAATACAAATTCTGTACCTCGTGAAAGGCACTGTAGTATACGGTGTCTGTCAGTTTGATTGATTCGGATGTATGTATTGGTGATGTACAACCTTGCTTACTGAGCTTGGTCTCATGAGCTTTGTTTCTGTTTTCCATCCAAGAAATTGTCGTGAACACCTGCCTTCAAAGAATCACTGTGCCCTGGTGCTTCCATGGCTTGCATATTACAGCGTGTTCCCTTCTTGCTGTGTCGAGTTACGCTGGCAGTGAATTAACGAGCGGTGATCTACCTTTCAGACTACGACGGGATAGAAAGTATCTAGGAATATATCAAGGAAGATTCCAGGAAGGAGATCGCTTTGGATTTATTGTGGTGGTAATAAATAACTTTACCAACGAACTGTGAGTTGTACCATCTCGCCCCTTTTTTCTCACTTGATTTCACTACTTTGGATTGGTATTTGCTCACGTTATCCACTGCATAATTGGTGAGCCCGAATTTTATTTCTCTTAGATCGCCTAGAACTCCCGTATTCATTTTTCCCATTACTATCATGTCTGATTCAAATGATTCGCCTATGGACTCGCAAGATATTTTGAGTTTAAGACTACCAGCTTGCGGTGTTCATCATCCTAGACTGCATTTTGCTCAGGTAGAGGCAAATTTTCAGTGACGTCGCGTTAGATCACAACAAACCAAGTATAGTTGCGTTGTTGGACATCTCCCACCTGAAGTTGCCGTCGAAATTGCTGACATCATCTATGAGAAACCCGATGCTTTGATTAAGCGAACAGCAGCCACCGATGAACGGAACCTCCGTGTTTTACTTGCCGGCGTGAAACTAGGTGATCGTACCCCCGCTCAACTACTCCAACATGACACAGCTACAAGGAAAGCAGGCGGTAAATGAGAGCATCCTCAAGGAGTTGTGGTTGCAAAACCTCCCTGGAGACATAAGGAAGGTCTTGTCGGTTGTTGACAAAGACACAACGCTGCCAAAATTAGCCGAATTGGCTGACCAGGTGTTTTCATGCTACGGTACTAAGCCCTCTCCTTCAGTGCAATCAGTAGTCATGACTTCAAACACACAGACCGACGTTGAAGCCCTGAAGCAACAAGTTTCAGAACTTTCTCTACAGATCTCCCAAATTTCCGCCAAACTAACTCACCGCTCTCGGTCAACTTCACGCTCTCATCCTACACGTTCACGTTCATTCTTCAACCGTGACGAGTCTACATGGATCTGCCGATACCATCGAAAGTTTGGCTCAAAGGCACGTAATTGTGTCAAACCCTGTAACTTCCATCGTCAACAGGGAAACGACAAGGCCAGACAGTAACGGCGACAACTGTTCTTGGCCCCAACGTAAGTCGCCTTTTTCACGTTATGGATAACCTGACCCACAAGCGTTTCTTAGTCGATACTGGTGCTGAAGTCAGCGTCTTACCGTCTTCATCTAAGGAACGTCACTCAACCACGGCTCTTACACTTCGTGCGGCAAACGGGTCTCGAATCCTCACTTATGGCCATCGTTCCATGACGCTTAACCTAGGTCTTAGACGCACGTTTCGTTGGGTATTTTTAATAGCCGATGTACAAACTGCTATCCTAGGGGCTGATTTTCTCACACACTTTGGGCTTCTAGTAGACGTGAAAGGTCGCAGACTGGTGGACCAAGCAACCAATTTGAGCATCGCTGGAATCCAGTGCTGTTCAACGCCTCCTGCAATCAAGGTCCTCACCCCCGATTTAGCTGACCCATATGCTGACCTGATCAAGGAATACAAAGACTTATTCCAACCTTCAGCTTTTCCAACGCAACTGCATCACGAGGTCACACACAAGATTCTCACCACCGGAAACCCTGTGTCATCGCGTCCTCGTCGTTTAGCACCAGATAAGCTGGCTACAGCCAAACGTGAGTTTGAGCACATGCTCGAGTTGGGCATTATACGTCCATCTAGTTCTTCTTGGGCATCACCACTTCACATGGTAGAGAAGAAGACCAGTGGCGATTGGCGACCTTGTGGAGACTATCGGGCGCTTAACAAGGCCACCGTTCCAGACAGGTATCCTGTACCCCACATACATGATTTCGCTTCGACCCTGGACCAGAAAACTGTTTTCTCGAAACTCGACCTTGTCCGTGCTTATAACCAGATACAAGTAGCCACTGACGATATACCGAAAACGGCAATTACCACTCTTTTCGGCTTATTCGAATTCCTCCGCATGCCCTTTGGTTTACGCAATGCTGCCCAGACCTCCCAACGTTTCATTGACCAAGGCTTACGTGGGTTAAATTTCGCTTACGCCTACATAGATGATGTCCTCATTGCCAGCAGTTCACACACTGAATATATGCACCATTTGAAAGCCGTCTTTGAATGTTTTCGATAACAGGGTATCATTCTCCAAGTTGAGGAATGTGAATTCGGTGTACCTTCCATCGAAGTTCCTGGCCACATCATTGACCATAAAGGCATCAGACCACAACCCTCAAAAGTAAACACGTTGGCTGACTACCCCGCCCCAACTTCCGTAAGACAACTGCGTCGTTTTCTGGCGTTAGTCAATTACTACCGTCGATTCATCCCCGAGTGTGCTCAACTTGCTCAACCCCTAACCGATTTACTTTGAAAGGGTACTCGCAAGTTAGTTCTTAAAGAACAAGCTCTCCTAGCATTTGACCGACTGAAATCCTGCTTCACTCACTCGACGCTCTTGCATTACATTCCATCCGATCCACACACCAAGTTGTACCTCGCCACAGATTCCTCGCAAGAAGCAGTCGGTGCAGTCCTTCAGACAATAAAAGATGCAGAATTTCAACCTCTCTCATTCATTTCGAAACGTCTGCAGCCCGCACAAACCCGTTACAGCACGTTTGGGCGAGAATTATTAGCTATATATCTGGCAATACGCCATTTTCGACATCTTTTAGAGGGTCGATATTTCTCAGTTTTGACGGACCATAAACCATTGATCTTCGCTCTCCAAAGTACGTTCGATCGATATTCTCCCCGAGAAATCCGGCAGCTGGCATATATACCTCAATTTATGACTGACATCCGTTATATTGAAGATAAATCAAATATAGTTGCTGATGCACTTTCACGTATGCAGATTGATTCTTTAGGCTTTACGGAGTTTCCCTTATCTGAACTGGCTGTACATCAAAAGAGGGATACCGAACTTGTGCAGTCGTCTTTTCCATCGCTAAAGTTACAACAACTTCCTATACCCAATTCAACCGAAAGTGTCACGTGCGACGTCTCCACAGGTTCTCCCAGACCATTTATACCTGCTTCGCTCCGTTGGGTGATTTTCAATCAGTTACATAATTTGTCGCATCCAGGTATCCGAGCTACTCGGAAGCTTATCAGCGATAGGTTCGTGTGGCCTAATATGAATAGGGACATCACTAGGTGGGCTCGTGAATGTATTGCGTGTCAAAAGAGCAAAGTCCATCGACATACTGTTACTCCTCTCGGTCATTTTTCCAGTCCTGATAGTCGGTTCAGCCATGTTCACATAGACCTTGTTGGCCCGTGGCCTCCGTCACACAATTTTTCGTATGTTTTCACATGCATTGATCGTTTTACACGCTGGCCTATCGCCGTGCCGATCAAAGACACACACTCCGAAACCGTGGCTCACGCTTTTCTCGAGTCATGGATTGCCCATTACGGAGTACCAACAACAATCACTACGGACCGCGGCCCACAGTTCCAGTCTTCGCTCTTTCGAGACCTTAGCCGTCTCCTTGGCTCGACGCACATCCACACTACCGCTTACCACCCGTGTGCCAACGGTTTAGTCGAGCGTTTCCATCGGCAGCTGAAGGCAGCATTGATTGCTCACGGTAATCCTCAAAATTGGACAGAGCATCTCCCGCTCGTACTTTTGGGGATCCGATCTGCAGTGAAAGAAGATTTAGGCTGTTCGACCGCCGAAATGGTTTACGGCAGCCCTCTCCGACTCCCTGGCGAGTTTGTTGCTGAGCAAAAGGAAGCAGTGAGAATAGACCCAACAATGTATGTTAATCGTTTACGCTCCTTTGTGAGACATCTTAGAGCTCAACCAACGCGTTTACATACTCGTGCATCACAAATCTCCCCAGTGCTACAATATTGTGACTTCGTTTTCGTTAGGGTTGATCAGGTGAAGAAACCGTTACAGCCACCATACGTCGGCCCATACCGCGTTATTTCGCGCCGACCTAAATATTTCGTCATCGACAAAGGAGGTGTTCAAGATACCGTCAGCGTCGATCGACTAAAAGTAGCGCACATTGATCCCACCGTATACTCTCCTATCAACCAATCACAACGCTTATCTACGCCTCCGCTTAACACGAACGACATAGCAACTCAAAAGCCGGATAACTTACAGCCGTTTGTTCATACTCGTTCTGGTAGAAAAGTGACATGGCAAACGAAGCTGCACAGTTACATATCTTAGTGGCGTTCCTTATCGGCGTTTATTTGTTCTATGGTGATTCTTCTGACCATTGTACGTTGGTACTTTCTCCGTAACTTATCATTACTCAAATTGTACCACTTTCTATCTCTCAATAAAATCTCAGCTTATTCCTCTTCTCTTCTTACCGAGTAACTTTTGTTTAAAATGAACGAAAAAGAAATATAGAGACAATACAAATTCTGTACCTCGTGAAAGGCGTGGTCCCTTCTTGCTGTGTCGAATTACGCTGGCAGTGAATTAACGAGCGGTGATCTACCTTTCAGACTACGACGGGATAGAAAGTATCTAGGTGTATACCAAGGAAGATTCCAGGAAGGAGATCGCTTTGGATTCATTGTGGTGGTAATAACTAACTGTACCAACGAACTGTGAGTTGTATGATCTCGCCTATTTTTACTCACTTGATTTCACTACTTTGGACTGGTATTTGCTCACGTTATCCACTACAGATACACAGGATCAAGGCTTTCACCCAAGATCTCGGTCGGTTTTGTTCTTGTCGTTCAGCAGCTGCCGTTCGACTATGAGGTAATAGCAAAAGGGGTGTAGCATCGCTTTTCAAGTTCTCAGCACCTTGGAGAAAGCATACCGACACCAGGATTATCGTAAAAATGCGTGTAATAATGTTTTGAACTGGGTGGTGAAGGAGGGTGGAAAAAGTCGGAAGAAGGCTATTCAACGCATCAGCCACCAGAAATGAGAAAAACTTCTGCCTAATAAAGTGTGCGCGCTGAACCTGAAAATCTTCTTACCAAGTCCCCACCGCGTGATAGCTGGATCCACGGTGAAAACCTGTTGATGCACTGTGACCGCCTCAGCTTCCCAACACTCGCATTCAGTTACCCTTCTTCATGCATGCTACTGAAATCAACTAAAACGGGTGATATTTATTGACAGGGGTGCTTCACTGTGATATTTTGACGAATCAATAGGATCCCAAAACAGTGTGGTGTGGTAATGTTCATTCTCTACCAATGAGGGCTTGGCTGGATATCGAGCCGATCGCCGTTTCGTATTTTGGCCAATCACTTGCGTGCAACGTCTCTCGGCCTTTGCAGCGTCCAGCGGTAAACACTAAGGCACTCTGTTTGTAGGATGTTGTTAATCATATCCCGCTTGAAGTTTGCTGCCATGGCATCTAAGTCAAGAATTATATTATAATAGCTAAATAGGCTTGAGGATCTGGTCTGTATGGCGTCGTGAGTGCGACGCACGCGGAGGCTTGGCCTCAGATGTAGTAGGTTTTGCGGTCTCTTCAAGGGAGCGTATATCAGAGGCATTCAGATGTGCCTTCAGATCAGACTGTCTCAGTTCATGGGTTTTAAGGTGAAATAACTACTAGGATTGAATTGTAATTCGGATTCACCTGGTCGGACCAAATCAAGCCTCGCGTGAGACTGGTCAGTATCTGGTACGGTGTAAACACAAGACGGAGCTGAAATATACTACTGAGACTTCTGCTCCCATGCTTATGAATCAACCAACCAAAACGAACAGATGAGGGGCAGATCGCTTACCCCATTTTAGCGCCTTCGATCTGGAGTGCAGTACCGACACGCTACCATCTGTCTACATGCCCCTTCCTATCTATTCGACAGCACAAGTCTTTGGAGTTTTTGAAGCGATCGATTAGTTTCCAACTAACAAGTGTGACTACATAGTCGGTATGACTTCATGATCAGGGTTCGCCTGGTTGCAGTCAGCAATATGTAACTCGCTGGTTCTTTTGTCGCCAATTCACTGCGAATATGATCTGGAGGTCTACCAAACCTACGAGTGTTAGTCGACACACTGAGGTAATTTGTTCCGTTCGCTACAGGACGCTCAATGTGAAGCTGCTTTTACACTGTTTTTGACAGTTTCTTGAGGTGACAGCACGCTCCAGGAAAAGTTTATTCTTCAGCCGTTGATAGTGCGTTATGGCTGTTGGTAAGGGTTCTCAATTCGTCTTTTGGGCGGGTACTCTTCCGCTGATAGCGACGGTACTGTGTGAACTACAATAGGAAATCCCAGCTGCTACTGTTACCGGCCATATCCGCTATCACTGTGCGCGAGCTGCTTTTGATACAAAGCGGTCTATCCCTGACTCCAACGGGATCAATGTGACCAGTGGCTCCAGTCCACTTGAGTCAACAAGATGCCACAGTGCGCCAGCCTGCCCGAGACCGCTGGTGGAATAGTATTTTACTTTGATTTTGCGTCCTGGAAGGAGGATGACCTATTGCAGTATGCGGTGTCAACCGTGCCCTGTGAGGGGCTACCCATTCGTTCAGCTGTACCACCCTTCTGGTGCTTAGCTGCCATACCAACCCAAGGAAGCACGAGGGCTGGGATACTGCCAGGTTGCCCAAGCCTAGACAGGGGAAGTCGAGAGGCAGAGACCGGGTTCGAACCACGGACCTTCCGGTCAGCGAATTCGCACCCTTACCACTTGGGTCATCTTGCCCCCCCCCGTAGGCTACCTGCCAAAAAGAGCACTGTTTTTCGCGACCAGTTCGAGGTGATGAAAACTGAGAAGTGGACGGAATGTGACGAGGCAGAAAAGATTGAAGGATATTACCAAAAGTTTGAACTGTCGGTGTTGATTTCTTTGCAAGATAGGATCCTCCACCTACTCGGCTGTAGCCAATCAGCGATATATTGGTCAACCGATGACAGTGGCGTTTAGGCTATTACGATTGTTTGACTGAGTGTTGGAGGCACCTTATAGTTTTGCGATAGGCCATCTCTAGGCCCCCCTTTCTGTCTCATTGGGCCGTCCGTTATGAAGTTATTTTAGAACTTGACAGCTGCATGGCAGTGGAGCACCCGTGTTCCCCTAGTGTTGTTGCAATGATGATACCGGAGCTCACCAGAAATTCTATTGGGTCAACTGCATTCTACTGACCATGTCCTTAGTGAGTAGCTGGTTCATATTATACATAATAATAAACAAATTGTAATCGTCGAGCTGTGTCTATATGCCACTCGAAAGAAGCATGAGGCCTGAGATACCGGTAGGTTGCCCAAATCGAGATACGAACCACGGTCAGTAAGTTCATGCCCTAACCATATATTCGTCAATAACGAAGCCGAGCTACTTCATTAACCGCATGGAAAGGCGCATTTTTCTTCGCCTTCTGAAGTCATTCTTGAATAGGATCAAGACCTTAATTGGGGGACCTGCTACAGTTTGTCGAGGCTGAAAACAATGAAGAAGTCCAGGTAAGCAGCACAATTTGGGGCATTCTCCTTCACTGTATCCATAACTGGTCGAACTATGGCTGGCACTTTCTTTGCACCAAACGATGATCGGGCATTCAGGAACGCACCGTGCTTTCAAAATATTTTCCTCTATTCAGTTTCGGGAGTAAATCTAGAAGAGGTAGCGGATAGCAATGCGTTCAGCTCTTGCACCCTTAGCGTGCATAGCTGCCATGCCACCCGAAGGAAGCACGAGGGCTGGGATACTGCCAGGCTGCCCAAGCCTAGACAGGGGAAGTCGAGAGGCGGAGGTCGGATTCGAACCACGGACTTTCCGGTCAGTAAATTCGCGCTCTAACTACTTGAGCCATCTCGCCCACGTTCATTGTAGCGCTGGCGTCGGGGACAAGTGTACACAATCCGGTGATTTCGTTGGCTTTCTTCCCTACAACCGTAGAACCATCGAATGCCAAGTTTGTGGTTGGTTAGGAAACACCAGCTTGCTGAACTTGGTTCAGTTCTTGGTCAATAAGAGTAGGACGATGCACCGTACCGTGAATTTCGGCCTGAAACTTGTTGTGGCGTTTTGGAGAAAGCACATTTTGGCTCTTGATTCTGCATATTGTCTATTGGCTGTCGGCAAATATCAGTACATGACTTTGCGGAAGCGCGTCAAGCAAACTCAAATTCATCATTATCAACATCATCAGAGACAGAAACATCAGCTTCGAAGGATGATAAGTGTTCATTTGTAGCACCCTTCCGGTGCCTAGCTGCTGCGCCATTCGAAGGAAGCACGAGGGCTGGGATGCTCATCATCATAGTCATCAAAGACAGCAACATCAGTGTTGGCACTGATGCTTCACTGCCGTACAACCATAAACTGCCACGTTGCTCAAGCCTAGACGGGGGAAGTCGAGAAATAGACGTCGGGTTCGATGCACAGACCTTCCGGTCAGCGAATTCGCCCTATAACCACTGAGCCATCTCGCCTCCATCAGCGTTGGCACTTGTCTACCATATAGTTGCAAAGTTTATCTAATTATATCTGAAGCCTTGAAGTGAGACGAAGAGAGAAGAATGGGTAAGGGACGGGACAGTGTGCTGGCCTATTGCAGGCACTTTGAGGCGTACCCCTCTAGGCATCCAGCCAGACAATCTGGAAGGAAACTGACAACACGAATGCCTTCGCCATCGATATTTTCCAGTTCGGCGCTAGAGAGCTCCTACCGCCCCTGAAAAGCAAATTGCCTTAACAACACCTGAAGTATTCGCAATCTCTTCCACACCATTCTGCCAAGTCATACGTTGTTCACGTGGCGGGTTGTGCCATTATGAAGTAGGAGAGAAATGGCTCAGCTGTTAGAGCTCAAATTTACTGACCAGAATGTCCGTGGTTCGAACCCAACCTCTGCCTAGACTTGAGAAACCGGCAGTATCCCAGCCCGCGTGCTCCCTTTGGATGGCATGGTATTTAGGCACCGAAAGGGTGTTACAGCTGAACGATTGTAGACTTTTTGGCAGTATCTACGTGGCAGAGGTGCCCCCCATAATTTGGCTCCTTGAAATGCTTTATGCCAACTCCCGTGGACTCATGAACGTCTACGACAAGCTGTCGACTGAGCTCACCACGTCATGTGGCGTCGGGAAGGCTATCCTTTTTCGCCCCTTCTCTCCACATTCATTATCAGTATGATCATGGAAGATGCACTTCTAGTGTCTACTATCTGTGGTGTCAAAGCGCCCATACGGTGTCCGCTCACGGATGCCGAGTACACAGACGACATACCTCTCCTTGGATCTGACGCCACAGTAATGCAGGTTTTATTGAATAATCCATATAATCCTTTCTCATGATTTGGCATGCACCTCACTCCGGTGGAGTGCAGAATGCTGCTACAAGGCTGGGTGGGCCAGAACCCGGATCTCCTGCTTGCTGATGGACCGACTGAGGTGGTAGACAGGCTTACCTACCTGGGTAGCTGCTTCAATCTCGACGTCGATATTTTTGCTTGGATTGGGGAGGTCAGAGCAATTTCTGTCAGTCGCCATCATCTGTGGCGTAGGCGTGACATAGGCTTATCTGTGAAGGGTCGAGTTGACGATGCTTAGGTAAGCGCCATATTGTTATGTGCGTCAGAAACCTGGCTTTTGTGCACTGTGGATGTTGGGACAATTACAGTGTTTAACTACCGGTGTCTGCAGACCATCGCCTTAGAACATTGGATCAGAAATGTTGAAGCATTTCGAAGAAGTAACTGAAGCACCTGAGGAAGTAACTCGCTCGTGAGCTGATCACATCCCATAAGATGAAGCATTTCGAAGAAGTAACTGAAGCACCTGAGGAAGTAACTCGCTCGTGAGCTGATCACATTAAGTAAGATGAGCTGACTTGGTCATGTGCTCCGTATGCCGCTCGATCGATTTCCTCGGACAGCTTTTTTCGCACAACCACGCTACGGGCGGGAGGGAGCCAGGGGAGGTCAAGCAATGACTTAGCAGCATGACATGAAAGCAATTATCATGAAACTCAGCTATGCTGGTCATTGTCACCTCTCTGGATGGGAACTCCAAGACGAGACACGTCAATGGCGAGAGACAATTTCAAACACATCCCACTTGCGCGCCCAGTGGCGCGCGTGCATCTAAACTTGCCTTCAATACTTAGCATACCGTCTTGATCCCCACAGTGAAAATACGCGCAGACCGAGAACTTTGGTGGATCCACAAGGCCGAAGAACTGTCTGCCCATCTGTCGCCCTAGTGATAACGGGCTATGACGAAAAATAGCTTACAAAATGTTGAACCAATGAACACCATGTTGCGGCAACAACGTCCAATTTCAGGAAAAGATAATAATAATAATAATAATCGTTCAGCTGTAGCACCCTTTCGGTGCCTAGCTGCCATGCCACCCGAAGGAAGCACGAGGGCTGGGATACTGTCACGTTGCCCAAGCCTAGACAGGGGAAGTCGAGTGGCGGAGGTCGGGTTCGAACCACGGACCTTCCGGTCAGTAAATTCGCGCTCTAACCACTTGAGCCATCTCGCCCCAGGAAAAGAACGAAGGTGGTATTGATGTGAGTAGCACATCTGCCCGGAAACTTAATTTGCTGGACGTTTAACTAAGAGCAATCTTGAGACTGAGGCTTGCCCTACGTGACGCCGTGGGTGGATGCTTTGGCTAGTAATGAATGCATATTTTGCACACCCTTGTTTCCGTAAATCAGGAGGTCAACTTGCCTGCTGAATTGTGAAGCAGTGCGTCCGGAATTGATCGAATACTGCCTTGAAACACATGAGCTCATCCCTCTTGGACAGGCCATTTAGCATTGGCTTATGGTTGGTTGTCAAATCCATGACGATGTCGCGAAACGTTTCCTTGACGATGTGGCCAAGCTGACAGAAGCGAGAAGAATACTTGTGGAACATTATAGATACACTAAAAAATTTCTCGCACGTCATTCACGGCCACTAAAATATTGGACTGATGACGTTTACCTGCTCCCATGCATCCTCGATAACTAGTCCCCACCACAAAAATAGATTCTTACCTAAAATGATCTTGTATCGGGCATTCAGTTTCTTTGTTGAGATCAACTGTAGGAGGAAAAGAAAACACGAACCTGAAGTGCACGGTGTAGCCTTCGCCAAGCGGCTTCATGATCCTCCTCGGTTTCATCCCCCATCAAGCGTCGCGACTTTGATAACAATTGCGCCTGGTAAGAGGGCTTTCTATCTGCTTGCCACCGGAGGCACATTGACCAGGTTGAGTTCAATACCAGAAGTCAGTCTGTTAACGGCACTCCTGCTGTTTCAACTACTGATGAGTCCTTTGTAAATGATCTTATGGTATCCGAACAAAACGTATCTGAAGAGCACACAATTTGTGAAGGGTCTGAACTTTCCATTCCGAGAAGATCCGAAAGATTGCGGTCAAGACCACCACCACTGGACTATAAACATCCACACGCTCATTCAAGGTGTGGCGGATGTGATGAACATGACTGATACTCTAGTCATTGCTTTACTCTCTTGTTTCAATATTCCATATGCTGCACATGTACGCCAGTTCGAATACATACGTGTTGGTTGTTACGCTGCGCTGAATTTTGAATTACTGGTTCGTCTGGTTATACCGATATACGTACGAAAATCAATTCTCACAAATACCTCCGCCATTAGATCAAGTCGTATGAAAACAGGCGAATCAGTAGAAGGCCTGCGCTTTTCACTGGACTTCCCCTGTAGAGATTGGTTTTGTGGGTTCCAAAAATAATGGACGATTCTTGGAATAAACAACAGTATGGTATGCTTTTCAGACAGATGTGACACTGATGAAGCGTCTTTGCGTATTTGTCCTTGATCAATTCTAAATGGTGAACTTAATAGCAGAATTCCTCCTCTGCGGAAACAGTGTAGAATAGCACAGATTCACGAACCCTAGTGAGTTGCGCGGCACAATAGCTGGGCATCCGTGGCCTTTCAAGCAAAATACTTGCAGGTAGAATTGAACGAGTTTTGTACAAAAAGGACTGGTCTCGTTGATCGAAAAGCGGGATACATACAATCTCATAAAGAACAAGCATAGGTTAAGTCAACAGACATTTGAAGGTGGCTGTCAAAACTTTGATACCACGATACACACTCAAAGTAAGACAGAGGTATTCATATGAACTGATTCGAGTTCCTTAGTCATGGGTATCATCTCGGGCTTGTTTTTCTACAGTTTTACCGCACCAATCGTTCCAGCTTTCTGTCGGTTGGACATCGATTTGTTCGGTAAATGTTTCTCGAAATTGTGCGTCTTTGAATAACAAACCTAACGATTGCAGCCAGATTTGCTGGCTAGATCATGCTTCAGTATATTTCTTAGCAGTCTGAATGCAGGAGCCCTTCACAAACAAGCAAACCACTATTCACGACTGACCTGTGTCAGTTTTAACAACAATCTATCAAATTTTCGTGGTAGTTGTGTTATGCTGGTTAGAACTCAGTTCTCAATGGGTTCAAACTGAACTAAATTCAGCTAAACTAAAGATAAATTGAACTGAACTGACCTGACCTAAACTGAACTGAACGGAACTGAACACAACTGAACTGAACCGATTTATCTACATCACTTTCCACCTTCCATCTGTCCTCAGAGGTCATGTCTTCTGGCCATTCGACAATACAGAGGCGAGATGGCCCAAGTGGTTAGAGCGCGAATTTACTGACCGGAAGGTCCGTGGTTCGAATCTGACCTCCGCCTCTCGACTTCCCCTGTCTAGGCTTGGGCAAACTGGCAGTATCCCAGCGGTCGTGCTTCCTTCGGGTGGCATGGCAGCTAGGCACCGGAAGGGTGCTACAGCTGAACGCCTTCTTTCTGCAGTCATTACTGTTCACACGACCAGACAATTGGGGTGATTCGATAATAGCACCCCCTCCAAAAAGGGTACTCACAGTGAATGTAAAACCAACAGACGTGCCTGTCTGACTGCTGTTGCAGCAAAGCTCCTGGTGTCACTGATTTTTACTCAACCGGCACCAGAAACCTTGATTCGTGTTCTTCAAGCGGGACTTTTACCGGGTAGAGGCCCTATCGACTCTATCTTCACCCTTCTTCAAGTGTTGCAGCAAGACCATTTTTATAGACGACTCACAATCTTATTGTTCATTGACTTCAAGGGTGTGTAACGATCCTGTTGACCAATCAGTGCCCCTAACTACACTTGCTGAGCACTGGATACCGAGTTGTTCGTGAACCCAATCCAGCCCCTATATTCACATAATTCCGGGCGTATGGATTTGTTGAGTTCTCTAAAAGCTTTCCTACAGGAAGTGGTGTCGGAAAAGAACACTTATCAACTTCGATATCGCCAAAAGGGGCGAAGTGGCTCAGTGGTCAGAGCGCGAATTTAATGACCGGAAAGTCCGTGGTTCGAATCCGACCTCCGCCTCTCGACTTCCCCTGTCTAGGCTTGGGCAGCCTGGCAGTATCCCAGCCCTCGTACTCCCTTCAAGTGGCATGGCAGCTAGTACCGAAAGGGTTCTACAGCTGAACGATTATCATTATCATTAACTGGTGCGAAAACCCCGCTGTTCAAGTCATTGCTGGTGAGAACCTCATCGATCAGGAGTACGCAGTTGACATCGTCCTAATATCTGAAGACGAAGACGAAGTACGAGCACAGCCGAATAAACCGACCAGCATCACAAACCCTTTCGGCATTTGCCTTGCACCTACGAAACACAAGTTTACGCTTCAGGATGCGAAACTTATGAACACGCTCCTTGGCAATTCAAGGAAAAACACTAGAGTTTGTGGAGACCTTTAGATGCCTCGGTGGTTGTGTTAGCTTTGATGGTAATGTGTCTGTTGAAGTCTGTACAGGAATCTCTGAGGTCCGAATTACGTTTGGTAATTTCCTTTTTGGAGTTAGTGAGGTGTGTGCCATGCTAACGAGAGGCTTCGTGTGTCTTGACTCGGTAAATTTCGCTGTGTTTGCCATGTGACATTCTCCTCAACCACTTGTCGTCTGAGCTGTATCCCAGGTGAAGTGTCTTCACCTGCAGTTAACCTCGGGCTGCCCCTAGTTTTGTCATGTCTTCTATCGTTCTAGTTATGCTATTCGGGCATGTGTCCATCTCCGCAGTACCATTCTTTTGACGCGTCAGTCACTGTCTATCCGGGGCGAGATGGCTCAAGTGGTTAGAGCGCGAATTTACTGACCGGAAGGTCCGTGGTTCGAACCCGACCTCTGCCTCTCGATTTCCCCTGTCTAGGATTGGGCGACCTGTCAGTATACCAGCCCTCGTACCTCCTTCGTGTGGCATGGCAGCTAGGCACCGGAAGGGTGCTACGGCTGGACGATTTGGATTTTTTAATTTACCGCCCATCCACAGTTAGCTAACATCTTTAGTCCGTGACTCTACTGGATTATGAAGGGCGAATATCCAAAGACGAGTATGTTGCAGCTGGAACCAACATATGTTTAATACGTGACCTAAAGTTGATAGACGGAAAAGAACTTCCACTGATCAGTGCCAGTTTTAGTCTTTATTCACGGTAATATGCAGCCCAATTTTGGATATTCCCTTGTCTACTTGTTTTCCGAAAAACAAACCTCAGTTATTTTCGCGAACTTCCGGACGATATTCCTACACTAGGCCACTTTGTAAGCTGTTCACGCAGGATGCCTTGTTGTGTATTGAGTAGACAGTTGGCCGCAAATTCTTGCTGCTTTTTGCAGTATGGGTTTGGGAGTGACATCTCTTCCTGGCGACCAGTCTCTCCAGATTTATGCGTTGGCACTTTCTCCTGATGAATCACTGTTTAAAAACGGCAAACGTTAATGATGATTCAGTGTTGGGCAGAATCTCGCATCGAAACCGCCCTACTGGTTACATTTAGGAGCTACTGTGATCAAAAAGCCCAACTCCGCATGTGACTGGCCAGAAGATCGGGCCGCTTGCCATTCCAGCATCAAGGTGAGCTCTGATCGACAGAAAGTGTGGACCCAACAGCCAATCATGACCCAGTATCCTCCGAAAGCCGGTTGCCAATGGCGCGTCCAGGTAGTGAAGCACTAGTGTCAACACTGACGTTGCTATCTTTGATGATGATGATGATGAATGAAAGCTCTCCATCGTCGTTCGTTAGTGCTATTGTTCAACAATGATGCTATCCTGCTTCACACCTATATCAGTTTATTTGGAGAGTAACACAAACAGTCTAGATGCATGCATCTGCGTCGTAAGCGCGATTAGTATGAAGTTTATACCACAGTGTACAACTTGTGTAGTGGAAAACAAGATCGTTTGTGCTCAAGCGAAGCCGTAGCTTGTCATTCTCTACGTCACTGTTGGTTCGGCTTTAAAGAAAGCAATTTCTTGGCACACTAATCGGAATGATACGCAAATGACCGAGTCGCCGAATTTAATGGCGCCGGAAACACTTCCGGAACAAAGTATCTACTGCTTTACGGGTGCGAATGCACAATTAACCTATTATGTTCATCGTCGTCAATGGCGCGTCCATGACATCAGTGTTCAACACCGATGCTTCACTACCGTTTAACCATGATTTATTGGAAAGCCTTATTGTAAAGGAAAGAGTTAAGGTGGACGGGGAAGGGACTTAGTGCTAGCTTACCACAATCATTCTGAGGTGCCTATACCTCCAGACATTCACTCAGGTAATCTGGACAGAAACTGACAACAAGAACGCCACTGACATCGGTTGGCAGCCATATAGTGTAGTGCCTCCAACCAGGCACAACGAGGATCACGCGGTCCCCATCCTGGAAGGTGAGTAGCACTAATGGCACCCGTGATCAACTTCACACCCCTCTGGCAGGTCATGGGTTGGTCACCACTCGGTTTACGCCGCTCCGAACTGGGCATGGAAAACATGACTCTCTTCGACAAACGATGATTCGGCATACGCAGCACATGTCCCAACCAACTCAGCTTCTGGTGCTGGACACATTCTTCAATGGAAGTACCCGTTACACAACCGAAAACACGTTTTCTAACTGCCTCGTTACGGATTCGCCGACACCAACCCGCACGAGCTATGGTTCTGAGACGATTGTCGAACACCTGAAGACGTCTCAGGTCCGCTGCTCGAATAGGCCAAGTCTCACGGCCATACAACAAAACAGCCCGTACTGTAGCTTGATACACACGTCCCTTCAGATTCAGGGATAAACCATTCTGACGCCATAGGTGTCTCAAGTTAGCAAACGCGGCCCGAGCCTTGCAGATTCGTGCATTCACCTCATCTGTCACACTACAATCAGAACTAATACAACTTCCAACTTACTTTGGAGTGTGTCAACACAGGGGTCTGATCCGAGGAAGCACTGATGAAGCGAAACAACTCCAGTCAATTGGGCAAACTATGGAGGATGAGGTTTGCTGAGTATCATTCTTCAACAAAAGACGATGAAGCCTGTTGCGTATGGACGAACAGGACTAGTCGATAATGCAGGTCACAGGCATTTGAGTGCAAATCTGTGTCTTTGTGCCCGTTGTCCACAGAGATCTGCAAGAAAGAGCAAAAAATCTATTTTTCTGAGATGGGATCATCAATATCAAAACCCGCTTACCATGGTTTCTTACCCAGCAGTCGAAAATTCTACCGCAGAGATGAGTTCGCACTCGGATGTTATCGTTTGTATGGAGCTATAAAAGGTTCCGCGGCAGAAGAATTGACCCTCTGGTGAAGGTGGTGCAAGGTTCGTCTCCTGGGTACACCAGACTTTTTGTTTCCGTGGAATAGCTATGTTGCGGTGACCTCTCGAAAGACTTTCTGCACTGTTTTGAGTGCCTTACCCGAATTTTTTTTTGTAGGGTGCTAATTTTCGCAACTTTTTTCCTCTTGACAGCACTTGGTCCATGTCTGGCGGTAGTCGGTGGTTATATTCCGATGATCAGTTAGCACCTGATGTGGGTGTCCAGTTCGAACTGCGTTACGTTGGTTCCATACCCGTGCTAGTATCTATCAAGTCGGTAGACTTGGAGACCCGAACAAAGATTGCGCAGTAAGTTGGTTGATGTTTTGCTGTTGCGTTGTATTGTGCTAGCTGAGTGATTTCGGAGCTTGATGAGGTTTGTTCTGTCACGTTGCTATTCTAGTTACTTGAGTGGGGAAACCTCAAGGAAGAAGACAAAGGACACCGGATGAAGATCAGCTATATTGCAGATTAACCAATGGAAGAAAGACCGCTGCGTCTTAGTTCGCTACAACAGAGAGGAAATGAAATCTCAGTGAAATATTACAAAGGGTAGAATTGTTCTTTGGGACCTGACCGTCCTAACCGTCATGTTCGATTTTGTTAGCAATTATGTCTAGGATTTTTTCGAGGGAAACGGTTCACCGGGTCGTCTGAAACACTTCGACAGCCCATAACCGGTTTCACTATTCTTGATGCTCATCAGGTAGACGCAGTCTCTGAGTTTTAGTCAACCTCTACCAAAATCGTACGAAATCAGCGAATCGCACTAATTCGTACACCAATTTGGTTTTATTGGTAGACCCAGCCATATTCCACCTGAATCCCTCGTGTGTGATATTCCGCTGCGATTCATTTGAGTTCTCCGTGAAAATCAATTTGGTGTACAGATGAGTATATCTGGGGAGTTTTGTGGAATTTGGCTGATGGAAACTCGGGACTTCGCCTGCCTGATGAACCCCAAGTGGAAGAACGAAACGAGTAGTGGGTTGTCGAAGGGCTTTCTTTCTGGAACATATACTGGGGCGAGATGGACCAAGTGGTTAGAGCGCGAATTTACTGGCCAGAAGGTTCGTTGTTCGAACCAGACCTCTGCCTCTCGACACCTCCTGTCTAGGCTTGGGCGACCTGACAGTATCCCAGCCCTCGTGCCTCCTTCGTGTGGCATGGCAGCTAGGCACCGAAAGGGTGTTACAGCTGCACGATTTATACTGCGATATCTCGCATATCGTACCAGCTGAAACATGAGGTGGCTTTCTTGAAACACATTTAGTTGGAGAACATGAGAGATTCATTTGAGTCTTCTGTGAAAACCAAATTGATTTGAAAATGAGTGCATTTCTCGAAAACAGTCCAATTTAGGTTCAAGTAGAACATGAGGTTGACGGGAACTCGGGGGCTGCGCGCCTACCTGATGAGCCTCAAGAAGGGCGAAACCGGTCGTGGACTGTCGAGGAGTTTTCAGTAACTTTGTGAAAATATACTGCGATATCCCGCAAATCGCACCAGCTGAAACATGAGGTAGACTCTGTGCATCACAACCAGTTAAAGGATATCACAAACGAGAGGCTCTTTGGGGATTCACTTGAGTTCTTAAAAATCAAATTGGTGTGCAAATGAGCGCGATTTGCCATTTCTTTGACGTTCTTTGACCTATTGCCCGACAGGTTCAGTGTACGAACTTTGCTTGGTTGGTCTGCCTGAGTTCATGAATACTTGGTCACCGGTTTAGGCCATGCTCTCCACAGTTCAACCTCTTCATAACGACATCATCGATTTGAGATGGAAAGGTTAAATTCATGACGCAATGTACTGGAATGAAATGTTATAATCCTGGGTTTCAGTTGCTGTGGCTAACCTTTTTCAAGGATTTTACACGAGGAATCGTTGACAACCAATCAATTTCCAGCTATTAGAAAACAGTGTGGAGGAAAACCAGTCGTGGATAACTTTAGAACTCAGTTAAAAAGTGCTGCAATCTCAGTTTTCGAAGAAATTCACCGCAATATCAGTTATTGTGACTCAGTCATCTGAAGGCATCGCTTAGGTGCGCATCTACAGTGTTCACTTGGTTCAAATCCTCTTTCGAAAGGGACATTGTCTCTCGACAACGCACTGCGCCGTCGAGTGCCCTCAACGGATGAACGGTATCCGTACAACAGCAAGGACATCCACCTGTGAGGGCAGCTGGATAAATGCAGTCATTTTTCGGATCAATAAATTTTCTTCGGAGCCGGAAAATCAATAGTTTCATTTCGCGTTCGGTTCCCATTGACTGATTGTGCCTATTCTTATCCCTGTTCCCTAACCCGACCTGTATTGCTGCTTTTTGATCGCCTCAGAAAAGTCAATGAACGCCCCATGAATCTTTAGATCGGAACTTGCTGTTTCGAACATTGTGGTAGGCAGATAAGGACCCTCATTGTGATTCGACATTTGGACCGAGATGACTCAGTGGTTCAAGCGCGAATTTACTGACCGGATGGTTCTGACGCAACCTGCTGTCTAGGCATGGGCAACGTGGCCATACCTCAGTCCTCGTGCTTCTTTTGGGTGGCAGGACAGCTAGAAGTATGACAATTTAGCCGCTGAAGCTAAGAAAAGATAATCGTTCGGCTGCCTAGCTGCCATGTCAACCGAAAGGAACACGAGGGCTGGGATACTGACAAGTTGTCGAGAGGCAAAGGTCGCGTTCGAACCACGGACTTTCCAGTCAGTAAATTCGCGCTCTAACCACTGAGTCATCTCGGCCCAAATGTTGGACCACACTGGACAGATGTCCACAATGAGCGTCCTTACCGCCCTGTCTCAATGTTCGAAATAGCAAGTTCCGGTCTAACGACTTTCATTGACTTTTCTGAAGCGATCAATACGTCCGGTCGGAGTCGTTTCGACAAAAATTACTATACAGAACAGAATTTCAGAGGTCTGTTTGTGTAGTACGGTGTAAATAGACCTTTGTTCATAGCGTTTAAAAGGATTGATTATGACATTGTCAGGTCACAGTCAATGAAAAGCACACGACATCAAAATTAACTAGCAAGTTTGGTTGACATGTACCATGTTCCTGGTGTACTGGTCCGTTTGTACCTTTACAGCGTGTGCCTGATCATTTTTGCTATGGTTGAGCTGTGTAAACACAAAAGGCTGCACAAGATCTCGTCCGGCCCAATTGGGGGAGGGGAACTGTCGGTGAGAGAGCAAATTGTTTTACCATGTCACATCAGTCCAAAGCAAGCCAGAGGGCTAACGACATGGACAGGTTCCGTCAAAACTCAGTAGTGAACATGGGCCTTGGGATTTCATCTTTCTCTCGAAAGGGGCGAGATGGACCAAGTGGTTAGAGCGCGGATTTACTTACCGGAAGGTCCGTGGTTCGAACCCGACCTCGGACTCTCGACTTCCCCTGTCTAGGCTTGAGCGAGGTGGCAGCATCCCAGCCCTCGTGCTTCCTTCGGGTGGCATGGCAGCTAGGCGCCGCAAGGGTGTTACAGCTGAACGATTTAAAAAAAATTTATCTTCAAAGGCTCAGACCGTCACTCATACTAGGTTTTCCATGATTCATGCCTGTTGCGTTTCGTATTTCAGCGCGGCGATCAATAGAGTGTGTGAAGATGTCGGACTCAAGCTGTCCTCTACTCGCCTGTCGGACAAACTGATGTCATCCTATTTGGGGACAGACTCGAACAAGCAATGGGCGATGACCTCGGTCTGCCTGACCATCACTTCGCAACATCTGACGGTCGAGTCTTTGAGACAACCCAAGCAGGTACGTATCTTCTCGGATTCCAGTTTTTTTGGTTGTGCTGGTTACCTTTTTGTCCCAAACGGTCTGACCAAAATGAGTGTTGGAGGTGTAGGCACTTTGACGGTTTGTGGAAATCTAGCCCTTGTCTTATCCATCTGTCAAATGAATCGACATGGTTTTACGGCTGTAAAGCATCAGTGTTCTCCTCTGGTGTTGCGACCCTTCGTTTTTCTATTTGTACTCGCTCTTCATTTGAACTTAAAGTACACCAAAAGTGCAGTGGTTACTGAACGGAAGGTCGGGAGTTCGATCCCAACCCCGGTACCTTGACTGTTCCTGTCTAGGCTTGGGCAATCCGGCAAAACCTCAGCCCTCATTCTTCCCTCGAGTGGCATGGAAGATGGGCACCGAAGAGGAGTGTTACAGCTGGGCGATTTAGAGTGACGTTCACATAATCGCATAGTCGTTTTGTTAAACTAAGAAGAGCCACTTACAAAAAAAGACGTAAAGTGAGTGAGGGTTCCAGCAAAACCTTTGATAACCCCAACTCTGTCATTCGCGGGAGATTAAGTTGGAAATATATCAAACACTTGCTAGTTCGGGCACGTGATTCGGTTGTGATCAACAGGTGGCTGTTGATCTCTTCGTCAACCTTGACAATTTACTTGCAAACATTTCGTCATCAATTGTGGAGACATCATGTGACAGTCCATTGACTCAGCGACGTTTGCTTGTGTGGTGGGAAGGGGGGGCATCGGTGGACACAGAACTTTTGAGTCTTCTGTGAAAACCAAATTGATTTGAAAATGAGTGCATTTCTCGAAAACAGTCCAATTTAGGTTCAAGTAGAACATGAGGTTGACGGGAACTCGGGGGCTGCGCGCCTACCTGATGAGCCTCAAGAAGGGCGAAACCGGTCGTGGACTGTCGAGGAGTTTTCAGTAACTTTGTGAAAATATACTGCGATATCCCGCAAATCGCACCAGCTGAAACATGAGGTAGACTCTGTGCATCACAACCAGTTAAAGGATATCACAAACGAGAGGCTCTTTGGGGATTCACTTGAGTTCTTAAAAATCAAATTGGTGTGCAAATGAGCGCGATTTGCCATTTCTTTGACGTTCTTTGACCTATTGCCCGACAGGTTCAGTGTACGAACTTTGCTTGGTTGGTCTGCCTGAGTTCATGAATACTTGGTCACCGGTTTAGGCCATGCTCTCCACAGTTCAACCTCTTCATAACGACATCATCGATTTGAGATGGAAAGGTTAAATTCATGACGCAATGTACTGGAATGAAATGTTATAATCCTGGGTTTCAGTTGCTGTGGCTAACCTTTTTCAAGGATTTTACACGAGGAATCGTTGACAACCAATCAATTTCCAGCTATTAGAAAACAGTGTGGAGGAAAACCAGTCGTGGATAACTTTAGAACTCAGTTAAAAAGTGCTGCAATCTCAGTTTTCGAAGAAATTCACCGCAATATCAGTTATTGTGACTCAGTCATCTGAAGGCATCGCTTAGGTGCGCATCTACAGTGTTCACTTGGTTCAAATCCTCTTTCGAAAGGGACATTGTCTCTCGACAACGCACTGCGCCGTCGAGTGCCCTCAACGGATGAACGGTATCCGTACAACAGCAAGGACATCCACCTGTGAGGGCAGCTGGATAAATGCAGAGTCATTTTTCGGATCAATAAATTTTCTTCGGAGCCGGAAAATCAATAGTTTCATTTCGCGTTCGGTTCCCATTGACTGATTGTGCCTATTCTTATCCCTGTTCCCTAACCCGACCTGTATTGCTGCTTTTTGATCGCCTCAGAAAAGTCAATGAACGCCCCATGAATCTTTAGATCGGAACTTGCTGTTTCGAACATTGTGGTAGGCAGATAAGGACCCTCATTGTGATTCGACATTTGGACCGAGATGACTCAGTGGTTCAAGCGCGAATTTACTGACCGGATGGTTCTGACGCAACCTGCTGTCTAGGCATGGGCAACGTGGCCATACCTCAGTCCTCGTGCTTCTTTTGGGTGGCAGGACAGCTAGAAGTATGACAATTTAGCCGCTGAAGCTAAGAAAAGATAATCGTTCGGCTGCCTAGCTGCCATGTCAACCGAAAGGAACACGAGGGCTGGGATACTGACAAGTTGTCGAGAGGCAAAGGTCGCGTTCGAACCACGGACTTTCCAGTCAGTAAATTCGCGCTCTAACCACTGAGTCATCTCGGCCCAAATGTTGGACCACACTGGACAGATGTCCACAATGAGCGTCCTTACCGCCCTGTCTCAATGTTCGAAATAGCAAGTTCCGGTCTAACGACTTTCATTGACTTTTCTGAAGCGATCAATACGTCCGGTCGGAGTCGTTTCGACAAAAATTACTATACAGAACAGAATTTCAGAGGTCTGTTTGTGTAGTACGGTGTAAATAGACCTTTGTTCATAGCGTTTAAAAGGATTGATTATGACATTGTCAGGTCACAGTCAATGAAAAGCACACGACATCAAAATTAACTAGCAAGTTTGGTTGACATGTACCATGTTCCTGGTGTACTGGTCCGTTTGTACCTTTACAGCGTGTGCCTGATCATTTTTGCTATGGTTGAGCTGTGTAAACACAAAAGGCTGCACAAGATCTCGTCCGGCCCAATTGGGGGAGGGGAACTGTCGGTGAGAGAGCAAATTGTTTTACCATGTCACATCAGTCCAAAGCAAGCCAGAGGGCTAACGACATGGACAGGTTCCGTCAAAACTCAGTAGTGAACATGGGCCTTGGGATTTCATCTTTCTCTCGAAAGGGGCGAGATGGACCAAGTGGTTAGAGCGCGGATTTACTTACCGGAAGGTCCGTGGTTCGAACCCGACCTCGGACTCTCGACTTCCCCTGTCTAGGCTTGAGCGAGGTGGCAGCATCCCAGCCCTCGTGCTTCCTTCGGGTGGCATGGCAGCTAGGCGCCGCAAGGGTGTTACAGCTGAACGATTTAAAAAAAATTTATCTTCAAAGGCTCAGACCGTCACTCATACTAGGTTTTCCATGATTCATGCCTGTTGCGTTTCGTATTTCAGCGCGGCGATCAATAGAGTGTGTGAAGATGTCGGACTCAAGCTGTCCTCTACTCGCCTGTCGGACAAACTGATGTCATCCTATTTGGGGACAGACTCGAACAAGCAATGGGCGATGACCTCGGTCTGCCTGACCATCACTTCGCAACATCTGACGGTCGAGTCTTTGAGACAACCCAAGCAGGTACGTATCTTCTCGGATTCCAGTTTTTTTGGTTGTGCTGGTTACCTTTTTGTCCCAAACGGTCTGACCAAAATGAGTGTTGGAGGTGTAGGCACTTTGACGGTTTGTGGAAATCTAGCCCTTGTCTTATCCATCTGTCAAATGAATCGACATGGTTTTACGGCTGTAAAGCATCAGTGTTCTCCTCTGGTGTTGCGACCCTTCGTTTTTCTATTTGTACTCGCTCTTCATTTGAACTTAAAGTACACCAAAAGTGCAGTGGTTACTGAACGGAAGGTCGGGAGTTCGATCCCAACCCCGGTACCTTGACTGTTCCTGTCTAGGCTTGGGCAATCCGGCAAAACCTCAGCCCTCATTCTTCCCTCGAGTGGCATGGAAGATGGGCACCGAAGAGGAGTGTTACAGCTGGGCGATTTAGAGTGACGTTCACATAATCGCATAGTCGTTTTGTTAAACTAAGAAGAGCCACTTACAAAAAAAGACGTAAAGTGAGTGAGGGTTCCAGCAAAACCTTTGATAACCCCAACTCTGTCATTCGCGGGAGATTAAGTTGGAAATATATCAAACACTTGCTAGTTCGGGCACGTGATTCGGTTGTGATCAACAGGTGGCTGTTGATCTCTTCGTCAACCTTGACAATTTACTTGCAAACATTTCGTCATCAATTGTGGAGACATCATGTGACAGTCCATTGACTCAGCGACGTTTGCTTGTGTGGTGGGAAGGGGGGGCATCGGTGGACACAGAACTGCTCGGATAAAGCGCCTTTTGATATACCACAGTGGTTGGAGCAGGATGCCAAGGGACGGAGTTGCCCGACCGTTCAACAAGGTCACAACACAGAAACTGATGGCCTATGAACCAATGGAAAAGTTGATTTGGATATCCAGTTAGCATCGCAACTGGGCGCTGGTAATACACGACCGTGTTACCTTCTGTGTTCCTCCCCAGGACACGCTGTCCCCCGCAAGATCGTCATCTGTGGTGTTCGTAGGTGTAGAGCTGTTTTGTGCCATCTGTCACCCGCCATTCACACTAACATACTTTACTTTTCGCGTAGCCGTACTTTTAACAAAAGTAACTGTCTGTCGTTCGAAGGTGGTTAAACCGTAGTGGCTCGCAGAGCGTGTTTTTAGGGTAAACGCCGGTGGTTAGGTCAGTCCATATCGTCATCAACATCAGTTCGATGCTCCGTAATCGCGTCAGAGGGAACACCACATCATGGCGATAGTGATGACTTCAGATTGCTTTTGTCGCTCAAATGGTCTGCACATAACCCTGTAACAGCCAGTCTGAAGTGACAACCAGTCCCACGACAGTCTTTACCTGGCAGCGATCAATGAACTAATTGCCTGGTAACACCACAAACGAGGGATTCAGCTGGGTTCCAGGTGAGTCTCTCGAAAAACCAAAGTTTGGTTTTCAAATGAGTGTATATTCGCTAATCAAGTAGAACACAAGGTTGACGGAAACCCGGGGACTGGGCGCCTACCTGATGAGCCCCAAGAAGGGCGAAACCGGTCGTGGGTTGTCGACGGATTTTCAGCAACCTTGTGAGTAGTGCAATACGAATATACATGTATCGCGATATCTCGAATATCGTGCCAACTGAATCATGAGGCGGTCTGTGTGCAGCACATTCAGTTGTAGAATATTATAAACGAGAGATTCAGTTGAGTTTCTCGTGAAAACCAAATCGATTTTCAAGTGAGTGTATTTCTCGAAAACAGTGCAATTTGGGTTCAAGTAGATCATAAAGTTGACGGAACCCCGGGTCTGCGCCTAACTGATGAGCCCGAAGTGGAAGGGCGAAACTGGTCATCGACAGGTTTTCAGCAACCTTATGAGTAGTGCATTACAACTATAGGCGATATTCCTTCCTCAAACTGTGTGAACACGAGGCACCCAACGTTTGGTGTCATCAAGAAAGTGCTTTCCAGGTTCGCAATTGACTTCCCATCCAAGGGCCTCTTCATTGAAGGCTTGCTTCAAAGACTATGGTCCAAAGCGGACTTCAGTCGGCCGGGTTACGATGATCTTTTGGCTACATTTGTAGACAAGTTTCGTCGTTATCTTCCTTGTCAAGATGTGAAATGGATCTTTGCGCGGATGGGTCATCAGCCACGTTAATTTGGCAACGTGTGTTTTCGCAAACAAGAGGACTGTCTGAGGTCGCCTGGTCGCACTATAACTGCGTTCAAAAAGCACGGTGGAGCGATACAACACGGCTTATCAGAACGACTAGAGTTGAAATAATCGATCGGAGCAGGTATAGGATAAACTCAGCTGCTGCGTTGTCTGGCGCCACGGTTCTCCACTGGGTGAAAGATCTCCTGTTGCGAGAAAAAAACGTGTGAACATACTACTGGCCTGCACATCTGTTCATGTGTATTCACCGGTGAATGTTGTAATTCTATCGATTTAGTTCAGGATCGATCGACCGACAGTGAGTTGGCCTGCCAACTAGGGTGCGCTAATTTCACGTCACTTGACCGGGGCAAATCTACCTCGTTCTATTGAGTGCTATTCACTCACGCAGGACACGCTAGCCAGGTGCGGAGCTTTGATCAGGAGATGAAACCTGTGTTGGTTGTGAAGAGAACAACAACAGGGGTAGTTTGGAACCGATTGAGAAGTCATCGTTTCAGAAGAGCTTGGTAAACAATCGGTAGTTTTTATTTGGGCAGCGTTTCGCTTTTGACACAAAAGCTTCATCAGGCCAAGTGAACAGGTCAACAAATTGGCCAGGTTATAAGACAGACGGGGAACCAATCAGTAAGTCCTCTTCACACTAGATCAGTGTTGAGTGTCAATTAACAGCTCTTGTCGGCTAGCGTGGGTGTCAAAATCTTGAATTGGTGGGTTGGAGGAGTTTCAAATTACTTCCGATCGCTTTTCATTCCTTAATCTTCCACTTCAGGGTGCTTCACTTGACGATTCACCCCGGGTGCCACTGGTAGATCCTTGATCATCGGGGGATGTGAATGTTACGACAATTTAGTTGGGGGGAGGGGAGGTGCGTAAGGTTAAGTGGAGTTCAGGTGATGACTACTCTTCCCTCTGATGATGAGAATAGATTTCAGAAGAGATTGAATAATGAAGTAAAGGGCTTTAGGTACATGAGTGAAACATGGGGTCTGCTCAATCAATCTGCTTAGGACTTGCCAGTTTTCTATCCTCTCGGTGCATGTTCGACATATCTCCCAAGGAACCACGAGGGCTGAGTTACTTCCCAAACCTACACAGGAGGATGAAGTAAAGGGCTTTAGGTACATGAGTGAAACATGGGGTCTGCTCAATCAATCTGCTTAGGACTTGCCAGTTTTCTATCCTCTCGGTGCATGTTCGACATATCTCCCAAGGAACCACGAGGGCTGAGTTACTTCCCAAACCTAGGAGGGAGGAGCCGAGATGTAGAGGTCGGGTTCGAACCAGAGGTCTTCCGGTCAGCAATGTCGCGCCTTAACCACTGGGCGATCTCGAGCTAAGCGACATGCACTCATTTGCAATTTGGTGCAGTCTGGTCTCAAGTAGAATATAAAGTTGATTGAATGTCGAGGACTGTTGTGACTTGGTGAACGGTAGTGCAACTTTGCATCAATCCCTTGGCTTCTTGCTCCCCCCACTATGGTATATCAAAAGGCACGGTAGCTCTACACAGCTCTTTATGGAGACAAAAGAAAGTTATTACAACTGTATTTCTAGGGTAGTCACAAAGTGTTCCACAAGGTCGTGCCAGAATCTCCGTGAGGGAGCGAAAAGCGTCGTCAAAGGTGCTTGACTCGGATTGGCTCGCATTCTGACCAATCAGTGCACGTCTTCGTTTGGCCCGTGTCCTGCACGTGAGACATCCGTCCAAATGATGTGATGTTCGGTTATTAGGGACGGGTGGCCTCTGTACAGGAACTGCGCCTACCTGTAGAGCCCCGAGAAGTGCGAAACCGGTCGTGGGCTCTCGGGGGGTTTTCAGCAACCTTATGAGTAGCACATTACGAAGACATACATGTATTGCGATAGGTCGAATATCGTAGCAACTTCAAACATGAGGTGACCTGGTGCAGCACATTCAGTTGCCTGGATACATCACAAAAGAGGGACTCAGCTGGGTTTTAGATGAGTCTCTCGCAATACCAAATTAGTTCACAAATGAGTGAATACTCGCTAATTTCGTGCAATTTGGTTTCAAGTAGAACATAAGGTTGACGGGGACTGCGCGCCTACCTGATGTCGAAACTGGACTGTGAGTTTTCATAAACCGCTTGAGTGATATCTTGTCAAGGAAGAAAGAATTCTTTGCACGGTTTTGGCCGGTCCTTCAGGCCTTACCTCTACGTTGAATCACCGATTATATGTCTGTCCCTATTCTTGGTTCGTTTTTTTATAGATACGTTCGGCTTTATTTATCGTATCTTTGTATTCCATATTTCTCGGTGTTCCCTGGCAGCAACTGTTCCGACACAACTTGTCAATGGTCTCGTTCGCTTCCGCCGGAGATAGCAACTCGCTTGACCTGTTTTGTTATGTGGCGAAGGATGTGGCAGGCGAACGTCTCTGCCACACATTCGATTGTCCCGGTGGAATCGCACAGGAAGTGATCACCACACTTGGGCAGGCATTTCAGCTGGGATTTCAGGTAGGCCGATACGATCCCCTAAGGTAACCGATTTCGCTCGTTTCCGTCACATTTGCCTGTCATTGTTATCACCGAGTGGTGCACTTTCAAGTTTCCCGTAGTTGTTGCCCCTCTGTCCCTGAACTCGCGACACCGTCTGTCGCTCGATGACAGCCATTTCCGTTTTCCCAAAGGAGGGCTGCTGTTTGGGTCGCTCCGGAAGGCTAACGGTGACCTCTATAATGAAGTGTCGTTACAACTCCGCTTTTGGCTCCCAGCTTCGCCAAGTACCGTGTATCAAAAGACGGTAGCTTCGGATAGCCTTTTGCGCAGACAAAGAAGAATCGCTACACCTGTATTTATACAGTTATCATGGAATCTTCCAAAAAACCTGGCTAGAGTCTTCGTGATAATGCGGGAAGCGCCGAGATATACGTGTTCAATCTTGAATGACTCGCATTCTGATCAGTCGATGCATGCCTTCGTACGGTTTTGCTGCGGAATTCCACACAGATCCCGCTTTACCTCCCGCAGTTGGGCGCTGCTAGGCTCGAGAATCTTATCCCGCACAAGATTCGCCAAAAGTTCGGGACGCTTGCCGGTCCGGTATCAAGCCGAGATCTGATTGGTCGAAAGTCCAACAGCCAATCAAGACCCAGCATTGGCCGAATGCCGGTTGCCAATGTCGCATCCAGAAGACGTCTGGAGCAACCCCGTATGACCGACCTCGTGAATGCCCACCGGAGAGTGGTTACCAAAAGAGCACCTGTTGAGCTGAGGTACACTCACCCAACCTGTTTCTGTTCGAAAGGTGGGAATGCCATAAGTGTTGGACGAGACAAACCAAAAGTGGACACTGTAAAGAGGTGGTCGTTGCAGGGGAGGTATGCTACACGGCGGTAACCGCTGTACTTAGGTGGGAACTTTGCTTCCGCTCTTACGTATTCTTTCGGTTTTCTGTTTTTTTCGTTTTGTGACTTCGAATGCCCTAGGAGACCTTGGTGTCAGTCCACAGAACTGTGTTCTTAATACGCACGGGAATATCCAATACCCTAAAAGTCAAGGCAATTCTGATTTTATCGGGAATAGCGAAACATGGATTGTATGAATAATATAATATTACCAGTGTGAACTGAGTCTTGCTCATCCGCTGCATCTCCCGCCGTTTTTAAATCGTCTGTGGCCGGGCCAAGTAAAGAGAGTAGTGGGAAATTAAAAACTACTGTTTACCGGAAATCAACGGATACCGGTGCGGTCTTAAACTATTCTTCGGCCCATCCAAAAGCAGTATATGCTAACATAGGCTCAGCGATGTTTAGGAGAGTGAGAACACTGTGTACAGAGGAGGTCGACCGAAGAGCAGCACAACTTGAGGTAAAAGAAAAGCGACTTCAAGATAGCGGATACCCAGTGGATTTAACTAAGCGGCAACCAAGACGGGTATTGGTGCCAACACCAAGGCCCAACAAGGAGTGGATCGGAACAGCGGTGATTCCATACAAAACAGGGACATCTGAAGTCATTAGAAGGGTACTGAATACGGCTAACATTAGAGTAGCCTTCCAGAAGGGAATGACTTTACGCTCGATGTTGGTGCATTTGAAGGATTGCCTCCCGGTTGAGAGGACTAGGAACTGTGTATACAAAATACAATGTAACGACTGTACGAAGGTTTATATAGTTTTATAGACAGCCAGGAAATTGCACACCAGAATCGGTGAGCATAAGCGATCCATTAAAAGACCGAGAAATGTATATTAATTCCGGGCGATAGTCAAAGATTCGGCATGCACTAGACACTGGGCGTGGGAAAGATTTAGAAAATGTGGACATTTGGAGGGGGTTTAATAATCAAACCACAGCGTCTGTTGGCCGACGCGCTGGAAATCGCCAAGCATCCCAGTGTGAATAGAATAGAGGGGTTAGAACATTTTGCAAACGTGTGGAGAGCAGTGTTAGATCAGCCGAGAGGCGGTGTGAAGTTATCGGCGAAACGGTCTAAAAGTACAAAGTCCAAGTAGAGTTAGATCCACTTAACCACCCCCATCCCCAAACCAATTGTCCCAGCACCCTTTGACGAACACAGATGAATGAAATCTGTGAACGACCCCAAGGGGAATTTCCCATTAAGGTGTCCTAGACTGAAAAAGCAAGGACGAAAAATCCGGGTTCCACCTGAAGACAAATCATCCCCCCAACCAAGCTATCGTAAATGTTGGTCATCCCCACTAACCAACAAACAGAAGCGTCAGACTGAACACCAGCCCTGATCAAGTCGGCTAGTCATAAGAAATCACACGGATTTGTTCCCTGACTGCCTCAAAACCCAATCAACTTACTTACCTGGCCTGACGAAGTTTTTTTGTCAAAAGCGAAATGTTGCCCAACGATTGTTTACCAACACCCCTAACTCGTTTATGACACACGGTACAATCATTGCAGTCATTTGCATAGCGTTGTTCCTGCGACGGACAAATAGTGGCCCCGACTTGTTTTGTTCCAGTGTGTGCAAATGATTCCGGCGATAAAGTGCACCGGCTTCAAACACGTTGTGCATAGGGCGCTACGATGCGACCGCGAAGAAGAAACTGCCGCGTGAGCTTCATTCAGTGTATGGATCGCTGTGATGTTGTACGCCGTCTTGTTGGGATAGGTCGTCACGGTAACGGAGAAAACAGCCGGCATGTCTGCACGTGTACGTCAATGCACGACAGTCAAAGATGACGTACGAACGTGTCTTGGCGCTCGGCTGTCAGGCATCCATCATCATCATCATTGACAGCATAACATCATGTTGAAACATCAATGCTTCACTGCTGTACAACCATGATTTATCCGAAAGCCTTATTGTAAAGAAAACAAGAAAGGTGGACTAGAGAGGTACTTAGTGCTAGCTTACCACAATCATTCCGAGGTACATATACCTCCAGACATTCCCTCAGGCAATCTGGACAGAAACTGACAACAAGAACGCCACTGACATCGGTTGGCAGCTATATATTGTAGTGCCTCCAACGGGCTACGGAATAAACGAAGGTATGCTCTGATTGGTTAGAATGCCAACCAATCAGGACCGCGCATTGTAGGTTGACCCTTCTGACCTTCGCCCTGACGAAGATTATGGCGCGACCTTGTGATGACTCTATAAAGCCAGCTGTACTCATCTTTTTTGTCTCCATAAAGGGCTGTCTGGAGCTACTGTGCGTCGTGATATAGCATTGCGGGTGGGACGGTAAGCCAAGGACTGACACAGAAGTTGGACCACCGCTTGCGGTACGCCACATGTGATGCTGCGTTCGGTTACATCTGCCAGCGTCTCCAGCCCTCGTGTGTCCCGTATCTAGGTTATTATTCGGGCTGATGAAGACTGAGGGTTTCTTTTGGTTATAACTTTCATGCTTCGCTGCTTTGTCACGAACTGACATCTCGTGTTGCTCCGAGGATGACGGCAGTGCCTCAGCATTCCTGACTCGGATCGTCGATGATAGGACGGGGCAAATCTTTCCCAGTATCCTCGTCTCGTTTGGTTGCCAAACCCTCTGACAGTATGGAGCGCACCGAGGCATTACAAGCTATGCCCTAATGCTGACAAGCTGATTTTACGTTTACCGCTCGACTGCCACAGATTGGTGAAAGCCATCCTTGCTCTCTCCATGAAAACAAAGACACCGAACTTGACCAGTCAAGCGAAACCGATACACCTGTCCAATGCCTCACTGGCTTTTCTGCACGCGCGCATCTACTCACATCAGCTTCGCCCAGCGACAGGTAATCCTAGATACTCACCGAATGCGTTTTCGGACTCATCAGCTGAATAGTAAGCACGTGCACCTTCCGCTTCTCACTGAACGACAAAGTGTTTCAAGCAAACACTTTCGGACCCCCCCTCGAATGTTCGGTGTACAACGTCGTGAGATTCCGCTTCGATAACCCAACTTCCAGTGCCTGAGTGCCTGAGTACGAGTCAGTGATCTACTCGTGAAAGGTAGAAGGCCTTCGCTGCGGAGTTATTTATTAGAAAATGCCAACTGAACGGTTACAGACTACTGGACAGGGAAGCAAAACTCATATGCATCTTGTTTATAAAAACTGAGTATCCATTTTCTCTTTGAACGCGTCTTCTTGAACTTTCCTGGATAGTCATTGACTGTTGCTCAAATGCAAGCTAATGCGACTCCACAAATTCCGTAATAGATCTCTTTTTTCAAGAGACGCAAAGCGGATTTACGGGAAAACATACTACTGGCATGCCCACAATCAGTAGCCAGAAGAAGAACCGTTCCCCCGAGACTGTGCATTACTGCTGATTTCCGATAGAATTGAGGCGATCGTTCGGTGTTTCTTGGCTTTCAGCGCAGATGGGCGAGATGGTTCAAGTGGTTAGGGCGCGAATTTACTGACCGGAAGGTCTATGGTTCGAACCCGACCTGTGCCTCTCGACTTCCCCTGTCTAGTCTTGAGCGAGGTGGCAGTATCCCAGCCCTCGTGCCTCCTTCGTACACCATGGCAGCTAGGCACCGAAAGGGTGCTACAGCTGAACGATTCGTTTTTCAGCGCAGATCCACCTCGCTTCAATAATGAACTTTTCATTGGTGCGATTTACTGTTCAAATGAAAAATGGTCAGGACTCGGTTTGTTGGGCCCAAAATAATCCTATTAGAAACACGGTTGGTGTCACGACGTTTTCTCGTTGGGAATAACCTGCAGCCTGTGTCATATAAAAATATGTAGTATTTGGACACGCTTGAGTGTCCAACGAGTGGTCGCAATCGATTGGATCGATGAGTTGGACTTAACAGGATTTCGCATCTACCAAACACTCAGCACGAGGTTTTTTGAGTTTTGTATGGAAATGACAGAATCCTCAGAGTTCAGCAACGGGAGGGGGGCGTAGAGGGCATTGTATTAATGTGTAAATTCAACCCTGAACGTGTTACATAACCTTTCCAAACTCAACTTACTAAACTTTTGTCTCCCTTGCTCTCTCCCCTTGTTCATCCTTCCGAACAGGACTTCCAGCGGACCAAATCCGGCGATAAGGCTGTTCCCACATTGACCAACCCATCCGTTCCGCTTGATTCAAACAATGTCTCATCCCTCATAACCTTCGGGACTGCTCCCACCGATCCCTTCCAGTCACGTGCTCCGGTAGGTTCTCACGTGCCATTTCTACTTTGATCGGACCATTGCAAATATCAGCCTTCAGTTCTATTAGCAAATAGCTTGGCAGTTTGAGTTTCTTCCATTTCTAAACTGGATGTATGGTACACTTATCGAATGGCTCATGGTCCAAGATTTTTTCGGCTCTCAAATGTCACATGTGGGGGGGGGGGCACTCCAGCAGTCAGTGTGATGATATAGGCTCGTCAGTCCGCCATCTTAGTCAGTTTCGTGTGGATCAAGACGCTGGACTGATGCGTCCAGGTGGCCGCTCACTTATCTGTTTGGTTGCGTTCCGTGGACCGTCGTCTGAACTGTGTTTGGCGAGAACTGAGTATCCCCCAAGGGCCAACCAATGCTGCCTTTTCCCGTTGTGGCACCGCCTCTTGGAACACCATCTGACTTTCGTGATGACTCAGTGGTTAGAGCGCGAATTTACTGACTGGAATTTCCCTGGTTCGAGCCCGACCCCTGCCTCTAAACTTTCCGTGTCTAGGCTTGAACGACCCGGGCCCTCGTGTTGGTGGCGTGGCTGTTAGGCACCGAAAGGTTGAGCTGAACGAACGATTTTTTTGGAAGGTGTTCGATTGCTGCACAATGAATACCTGTTGAGATATGCTGGAATATGCTGTTGTGTCTACGCAGGAACGTGTCTTGTTACTGTTACCCTTCCTGTGTACAGAGCACAAAGTACCTGCGACAGCAAATGGTGCGCTCTGTGCTCCGCGGGAACTGCGTAGTATGCTACCATGACGGTGAAGAAAACTAACAAAAAACCTGGAATTTCCATGCGAACGGAAACGCAAAGCGTTAACATTTGTTTCGCGGTTTTTTTGGCTCTCTTACAGGTCACTCTAGTTGCGATATGAAAGATCGATTAGTCCGAATGAGTCACAAGCCACCCGATGCTCTGTTTGGTGCGAATGTTAAGCACGATGCTTATGAACTTGTGTATTTGGGGAGGCCTACTCACGTTTACTACGCTTCCTCAAGTATGACGGGGGGGGGGCACTCCAGCAGTCAGTGTGATGATATAGGCTCGTCAGTCCGCCATCTTAGTCAGTTTCGTGTGGATCAAGACGCTGGACTGATGCGTCCAGGTGGCCGCTCACTTATCTGTTTGGTTGCGTTCCGTGGACCGTCGTCTGAACTGTGTTTGGCGAGAACTGAGTATCCCCCAAGGGCCAACCAATGCTGCCTTTTCCCGTTGTGGCACCGCCTCTTGGAACACCATCTGACTTTCGTGATGACTCAGTGGTTAGAGCGCGAATTTACTGACTGGAATTTCCCTGGTTCGAGCCCGACCCCTGCCTCTAAACTTTCCGTGTCTAGGCTTGAACGACCCGGGCCCTCGTGTTGGTGGCGTGGCTGTTAGGCACCGAAAGGTTGCTACAGCTGAACGATTTTTTTGGAAGGTGTTCGATTGCTGCACAATGAATACCTGTTGAGATATGCTGGAATATGCTGTTGTGTCTACGCAGGAACGTGTCTTGTTACTGTTACCCTTCCTGTGTACAGAGCACAAAGTACCTGCGACAGCAAATGGTGCGCTCTGTGCTCCGCGGGAACTGCGTAGTATGCTACCATGACGGTGAAGAAAACTAACAAAAAACCTGGAATTTCCATGCGAACGGAAACGCAAAGCGTTAACATTTGTTTCGCGGTTTTTTTGGCTCTCTTACAGGTCACTCTAGTTGCGATATGAAAGATCGATTAGTCCGAATGAGTCACAAGCCACCCGATGCTCTGTTTGGTGCGAATGTTAAGCACGATGCTTATGAACTTGTGTATTTGGGGAGGCCTACTCACGTTTACTACGCTTCCTCAAGTCGCAGATGACCCGCTCAGCTGTTTCTGCCTTCCTTGCCCCGTCTCTGTTCGCCCTCGGGATCCTCTAGGGACCACCGAGTTGCACGCTTTCGGCGGTCTGAGTTCGAGAATGCTGCTAACTGGCACTGGCGTTGGACTGCCTTGGATCATCGATTTTCCTCACCTCCCCCCCCGCAATCTGGACATCTATTGCGTTTCAAGATGTCGGCACATTGGTTCCGTATTTCCACACCAGCAAGCACTCTTTCAAGTGTGCTTGCTTTTCGATTTGTCATCGTAAAACACAATTTGGAAAGTTGAATTTCCGTCCAGCTCCTTAACACACCGGTTTATTGATTGACACGTTTAGATCAGACTGTGACAAACATCTGGCGTTCGCCGTTTGTTTTCCGTGCAAACATTGTGCATTCCCGTTCGGATCCTTGTCTGGAATGTGTTTTGATTCGTATGGATCGATTCGCAACGCAAGCCGATGAGTGATATGTGAGTTCGAATGGGTCTCACTGTGAACAACGATTCGTTCTGCTTCTTACCCCGAGCGCGTTATTGGTATTTTGGACTGATTCTTTTAAAAGTAGATGCTGTAGTGGCTTTCTTTTGCTGGCCTAACCATTTGCGAGATTGAAAAATCGGAGTGAATCGTCGACTCTGCGGTCTTCCTGGAACACTCGATGGTGCATTTGGATCGTACGCCGTTCGAACGGAGGCAACCATTCAGAATATTCAAGACAACCCACGCCTCATCATCATCACCATCACGTCGTCATCCATCATCGTCATCCTCATCGGTCTTCCTGGAACACTCGATGGTGCATTTGGATCGTACGCCGTTCGAACGGAGGCAACCATTCAGAATATTCAAGACAACCCACGCCTCATCATCATCACCATCATCATCGTCGTCATCATCGTCATCCTCATCACCGCTATCAGATCCAGAAACATCAGTGTTGACACTGGTTCTTCACTGCCATACAACCACAGTTTATTCAATTATATTTTAGGCCTTAGGATGAAAGTAAAAGAGTGGGTGGGGGAGGGCACCTGTACTCGCCTCCCAGCACTCAATCAAGCAACCTGGAACGAAACCGATAGAACGGATACCACTGGCATCGATTGGCCGCCATTTTTCGCAATATCTGCAGCCAATCACAAGCGGCGATTGGTCACGGAGATTTCGTCCTGGAAAACAGATCGCACCAACATCGCTTGTAGTCTCTTTCACACCCTTCTTCCAAGTCGTACGCTGCCCATCTTGCGTCATTTTGAAGAATGCAAGGAAGTACAACACCCCTCTTGGTAGAGGGTGTTTCGAAATGCGTGGCACATGACAGGTGCTGGATGTTTTCCGCGGCTACTGCACAACCATATACCTGCTTTCTAATTACTAATTCTTTCACGCCACCCGACGCCAGAAACACCTCTGAGACCTCGGTGGTCAAAAACTTGGAGACGTCTCACACCATTCAATTTTTTTCGTGTGCACCCTGGTTCTGTGGGTGCCATGGTGTAACGGTGATACTACTGATGGGGAGAATGCGAGTAGTATGTTTTCTCGTAAATTCGCTTCTCATCTCTTGAAAAGTGAGATCTATTACGGAAATTGTGGAGTCGCATTAGCTTGCATTTGAGCAACAGTCAGTGACTATCCAGGAATGTTCAAGAAGACGCGTTCACGGAGAAGATGGATGTTCAGTTTTTGTAAACAAGATGCATATAAGAGTTTTGCTTCCCTGTCCAATAGTCTGTAACTGTTCAGTTGGGGTTTCCTAGTAAACAACTCCGTAGCGAAGGCCTTCTTCCTTCCAAGGGTAGACGAGTACCAATGTTTTTTTTACTGGGGCAAATAAATTCGATCGGATGTCACGGGCCCCTTCGGAGGCTGAGGAAGACACACTACTCATGCAGATCCTCACGGAATTTCTTCCCGTTTTGTCCGCAGGATTACCGTCCCTCTCCAAAGCGACCCAACCCTTCTGATGCGCCCGCGGTCGGTCTCGCGTTCGACAACTTTGCCAATTTCGATGACAACACATGTAAGTTCGTCGTCACTTTTCTTTATTTTGCTTCTTTTCAACCCCCCCCCTTCCAGGGACCAGTCGTGTGTTTGATAACTCGGGGCGAGCTTCCCAGATTTCAATTAGTCTGCCCCTCCACAGGGGATGGTAGTGGTGTGCCTAAGTCGGTCAATCGGTCGAGTTGACCATCGGTGTCCTCCCGTACACTGACATTGCGTTGAGACCTCATTTTCGTTGGCTTTCATTTCTCAGGTGCCCCCCACAAACAAGTGAGTCTGACAAACGGAGTGGGTTGTATGTGAAGCCCGTTTGTGCTTGCTCTGGCTAACTTGCGGTCTTTTCTACCGGTCTCAGTCGCTGTTGGCGCCCTTCTAGTCTAGGCTTCCTTCACACTGCCTCCCGCTTCTCGCGTGGTTGTGTGGAGTTGGCTCAATCGAGGGACTGGCATTCCCTGACCCCAGCTCGTGAGTCAGCATAGTACGCACGTTTCTGGTCAAAGGAGCAGGCTGTAGAACGCGGTTCGATTCGCGTGCTTCTCAGCGGACCCATGTCGTGACCTTCAGTACGCTATTGGTTCAATTAAATAGCCAACCATACTCAAGGCCGCGTTTTAGTGCGATCTGCATTCTCGAATGAACCCTACCCTTCTTGACTGTCTAAACTTCCTCACACAAGATGAAGGTGGAACCGACGTATACTACTCACTCTAGATGAGTTTGTTGGACTCAGAGCGAAGGCGAGATGCGTTGCCTATAAGTCGTGTCCCCATGGCCCTCAGAATCTGTTGCGTACACAGGTGAGGCATGTCTAGGAACGCCTGCTTTTGATGGGCGAATTCTCTCTCAGTTATTCAGTTAGTTCTCCGGTTCTTCAGGAGTGAACAACTCAGGTTTTTTAGTTATGCTTAGGTTTACTGTCGGTAACAATCAGAGGAGGATAACACGAACAATAAAAGAGTAATTGGGAATTCATTTTATCATGAAGGCCAGGTTCCTGTAAATAACTCCAGGATATTCAAAAATTCTTGGGAATCGCCAAAATCGCCAAATAGCAAGGCTGCAGAGTCTCCTTGCCGGAAAAGCCAGTTGTTGATTGGATGTTCAAGCAGCCAATCAGGGGCGATGAACGATGCTCCAGTACTCAGTGGTGTTCTAGAGGCAGTACCAACCAAGCACTGAATGTGAGCCGGGGTTTGCAGTAGCTTACAACTGTGTTCTCCACGTAGGTGAACGGCTGGTTGCGGCGATACGTTTGCAGGTGACAGTACGTGCTGTTGAATGATGACACACACCCCTCCCCCGACACACATGGGACATAAAATTATGAAATATATTGATCCTAGAATGCTTCTTAGTATGTGACCCGTCGAAAGAATAGTGGCGACGGTTAACCGTGGGGCCCCAACTTAATGAAATTTGAGATAGCATCTTCCGGCACTTGGGGCAGTTCCCCCCCTACTCAAAAGCAATTGTGACATCAGCTGACGAAATTCTGGGGCGAAAACAGTCACTTGAGACAATATTGGTCCGTCAATGCGCCTCAATTGTTTTATCGATCGATCCATACAAACGGTCTTTCACAAAGAACGACCACAGATCCTTAGTCTGGGTACCGAAGCTGCTCGCTGTTCATGGGACTACGCTCCTAAGTTTTGCGTATTTAATTGTGCCTACTGAAATACATTCGCAATAACCAAGTCACTCCTCACAAGATAGCCGACAGTGTTCGCTTCGTTCCGACCACAAAGCACAACGTGAGCTGCTTCAAGCGCATCTTCCGATCGGGGGCGGTTAAATGATTGATTGCATTTTTTTATTCCCTAAATTCACTGCCTTGATTTCCCATGATGGACCTCCGGATAATGATGCGGTATCGCCTCGTTCTTGATCAACTGCGGCGGTTCACAGGAAAGTTTAAAGTCGGGGCGCTGAAGGAGCCGATTTTTCTCAGAACTTATCGGAAAGAGACGAATCAACAGATTTGAAATGGGTATTCTGATTGCTTCCGTCTAGGCTTGGCAGTCGGGTAATTTCTCAGCCCTCGTGCTTTTTCAGGTAGCATGGCATCTGAGAACCGGAAGGGCGTTACGTTTGAACGATTTGTCCCCCCCCCGGACAACCGGATGCAGCTGTCAGAGGCAAGACAGCATGACGCAGAAGCGCACAGCTAGAATGATCGATTGGAACACATGTTGAGACTCGATGACCATTGAAAAATACACATCATCCGGTGTAGCAAGAAAGCACCGATGAACGGATGATCTCCTTCAAGTGACAACCGTGAACAAACATCCTTTTTTGTGTTGTTGTCTATTTCAACGAACCGATTTGCTGGCCAGGTATGGTCTGTATGGTGTACAGTTCGGAGTACAACTCGTTCAACGCCAGTCATTAAATCAGTCATGCTCGATATGTGGCTGTTGAACGACTAGTCCCGGCTGTCTTTGATAGTTTGGCAATCCTGTACCCACGTGAGTCTGCACGGAGCAGGTACTGCGCCCAATGTGCGTGCATTCACCGGGCATACGTTCAGCTCCTAACGCGAAGGTGCTGCCGCCTTGACGTGGTGTCTGGGGCTTCAGTGCTGCAATGGTTCCGCGGACTATACTGGCTGGGACTTTGTTCCACAAGGTGTAACCATGCCAGGAAGGCCGAAGAAGAGCAGCAGATGAAGAGTAGCGAGACCCATGACCACAAGTAATCGTGCTACGAGGGGTGCACTATGAATGTCAAGGTAGTAAGGTGTTTCAGGTGGCCAGTGTGTTCTTGTTCGTGGAAGAAGCGATTCTGGCTTCTCCCGAGAAAGGACGGGTTAGAAAAGGTCTGCCCCAAAAACCGCACCTCCGATCGTTCCAACGATTGACCGTGACCACCGGCGCATTATTCAATACGGTTGAAATAATTTTAAAACCAAAGAGTCTGGTACTGCTCAAAAGGTATCTGCTGTGCGCAGCCGCATCAGGAATGAAACAGCAACGTCTTATTCCCTGTGCCATCGGTTTGGGCCAACTCTCTGCAGCCGAGCAGGTCAGACTCTTGAGTCACCGGCTATATTGGCTGGAACTCCCACAGTCAGACCAAGAGCGGCGAGACCCCTGACCACGGTCAATCGTGCTACGAGGGGAACGAGCCAGCGAGGTCATACGAAGACTTGGCAGCGAACTGTGAAGGGTATACCAGCAACTTCAGATGCACCGTCTCCTTGGACCTTGACGCCGGAACCGAACGCATCAATGGTTAGAGAAATTATTAGACAGCACTCATGCATCCAAGATTTTGCCTTCAACGTAAAGCTCCCCTTCGAATCCCCTACCTAAAAGTTTACCGACAGCTTGTATATTATGTCAGCTACCGCCTCCAATGCGCACCTACCTCCCCACCTCCCCAAATCATCGGTAAACGAAACTGTGGCAGCTATAAGCAGTGTATGGCAAGTACGCCTTAAACAGCCCTCTGAATAAAAAAAGAAACGTTCAGCTGTAGCACTCTTTCGGTGCCTAACTGCCATGCCACACGAAAGAAGCACGAGGGCTGGGATACTACCAGGTTGCCCAAGCCTAGACAGGGGAAGTCGAGAGGCGGAGGTCGGGTTCGAACCACGGACCTTCCGGTCGGTGAAATTCGCGCTCTAACCACTTTGTCCATCTCGCCCCTTTTTGAACTCTGAATAGTGATCACTATCCCCTTTGTTTGCCACCAAACTATAGAATCTGAGTTTCCAGATCACCAAATTCCGGCCACTCAAACCTCAAGAACATTATTGTCCAAGAAAAAAACCGTGGGAGTACCGAAAACCAACAAGCACTTCCTTGTTAGGCACATCCAGTTGGATCTCCGTTTTTTACAGTTGATTAGTTATCTTCCAGACTGTTCTCCGATTCTGGGGCCACAGTTCGATTTTCGGGAAATGCGTTACCTCAAGGGTTCGAATTCAACCGCGGACATCTCGACTGTTCCTGTCTAGGTTTGGGCAACGTAACATCTTGGTTCAGCCTCTGTGCTTCCTTCGGATGGGTCGGGATCGGCCTCGAAAAGCGTATCACAGCCGAGCGCAAAGCATACTGGTCAACATGGGTTACTTGGGTTGACCCGAACTTGGAATGATTGAGCTGGTGAAATGGGGTATCCTATTTGTCCCTTACGAATGCCTGCATTGGAACGATGTTCTAGGCGGTTCCTTGAGGGTGCAGCTTACAGGATGGAACGTTAGATATGGCATGCTTTAACGCCTCCCTCATCCATTTGGTTGGGGTTGGTTGAATTTCCACCATCTGGTAGTTGGGTACGCTCAGTTCGCCAGTAAGTTCATCTGTGCCTACGAAAGAAGCGCGAGGGCTTAAATCCTGCCAACCTGCCCGAGCCTAGACACTGTCAAAATGGTACGCTCAGTTCGCCAGTAAGTTCATCTGTGCCTACGAAAGAAGCGCGAGGGCTTAAATCCTGCCAACCTGCCCGAGCCTAGACAGAAACTGTCAAAATGCTGACCTTCCGGTCACTAAGAACCTAGCCATCTCGGCGACGATACATGAAAACCGAATCAGTGGATATGATGACCGTTGACCAGGGTCTGTCCTCATTTCTCTTTCCTTTGACACTTTTCAACCGTCTTGTTTCATCTTCTCGCTGCTTGCGAATGGCTTCACAAACTCTGACTGACGTCGTTAAAACGAGTTCAGCTTTTGTTGAGTGAAGTGGTCAACCTTGGCTGTCGTTTCTTATTCGGTTTATTGTCTTTCATCAGGGCTGCTTGATGAACCGCTACTCACCACCACGGTGGACGATACCGCGCAGATGCCGACTGCCCCACCTCCACCGAGTCGCGCCAGAGTGCCCATCCCATCCTCTGATTCGAATCCGTTTGTCGCAACCGAATCGTCAGTCCAGGATGTACACCCGGAGGAAAACCCTGCTTCGCATGGATTGGAACCCGTCGGTGAGCCCTGGTACGTGGGTACGATGTCGCGCAAGGAAGCCGAGCGATTACTTCGATACGAGGGGGACTTCCTAGTGCGTGCCAGTGCCCAACACCCGGGACAATTTGTGCTAAGTGGCTTACAGGATAACAAATGTCGACATCTATTATTGGCTGACCCTAAAGGTCAGGTGAGCGCGTTTTGTCCAATCGCCTTGTCAACCCTCCCCCCTGGAACTCATCAGCGGTTTATTTACGCACTCACTCTCCCTACTTACTTTAGGTAAGGACAAAGGAGCGCGTGTTTGGCAGTATCCAACATCTGATCGACTACCACGTTCAGAACGGTGTGCCGATTCGTTCGGGGGACAGCGAAATCCGCCTAATCTTTCCGGTATCCGCACAAAACCTTTTCGAATTCTAGCACCGACCTCATGGCCTCTCCCTCCTCCTGTGTAGTACATCTTCAACTCTGCAATGACCTGGGTAAGACGACTTTTGTCGGCTTCGCCAGGTATCTTTGTTCACCAGGTCAGTACAACAACGTATGCGTTTTCCTGCCTTAATTTTACCTTGGCTTCGATTATTTTACTACGGCACTATGAATAATTTTACCACCACAGGGTGGCGGTAGACCATCCCTAGCCCGCGGTTACGTTCGACTCACTTTTGGGTGTGGGACACAAAAGTACGGTCCGTGAGTACCGCCAGCTATCGATTATTGCTTTATTCCCGCTTTCATGCGGTTAGTGATCGTTCAGCTGCGATGGTCTTTCGGTGGCCGGTTGCCGCCACTGTGGGATGAAGCACGAGGGCTGAACGAACTGCCGCAATCGGAAAGCCAGGATTTGCCTCGAACCATAGATTTTCACGTCGTAACTGCTGAGTTGTCTCGACTTATGAGTAGTGAACGCCACGAACCCTAGCATGGTGGTACTTGCGCGATATCGCAGAGTAAATATGCTCTTTGAAATATACCGCTCTAATCGGAAGGGTATTGCAAAGAACAGTGCAGCGGCACGTTTTTTTCCACCCGAAAATTTTGAGTTCAGTTCATCAATCAACCGTTCAGCTTTTTAGGTGCGCGGCTGCCATGCCACCCGAAGCAAGCGCGAGGGCCGAGATTCTGCCTGGTTACCCATGTCTAGACGAGGTGCTAGGGTTTGGTTCGAACCACGAAACTTCTTATCAGTGAGTTGGCGCCCTAACCATTTGCCTGTCTCGGCTGGGCGTGGTGGCATCCCCGCCTGTAATCTACCTACTTGCGGGTCCGACGTTGAAATCTCCCAGGGACGGGAGTTCTTTTGCTGACTAGCGCATGTTGATGGCGCGCCCAGCACGACGCTGATATCACTCGGAAGTCAGGCTGTTGCTTAAGAAAGCGCTAGCCTGTCCAGGGGGGTGCCTAGCTGCCATGCCACCCGAAGGAAGCACGAGGGCTGGGAGTCCGCCAGGTTGCCCAAGCCTAGACAGGGGTTCGAACGACGGACCTTCCGGTCACAGTAAATTCGCGCTCTAACCACTTGGGCCATCTGAGCGGAGCAGTTCGCAGGCACCATTACCTATGCAATCCCAGGTGAGCAAGACAGGAGTACAGTAATTTCTGTGTTCAATAGGCCACCCAGTGGTTGGGGCGCAAAAGTAGTGACCTGAAGATTCGTGGTTCGAGCCCAACCATGGCATATGGACCGCTCCTTCTCTAGATTTTGGCAACCTGGAAGTATCTCAACACTTGATTGAGTACTTTATTAGGCGTTCAAGCTGTGTCAACGTAAAACGGAAGGTGGGCAAGATCCTTGATAGACTCCGAATTACGGAGACAACGATACCGGACAAACAGAAAGCATTATCGGCAAATGTGGCTTTCAGTTGGTGCTTGCTGGAACTGCGCTACTGGATAAAGGACAAGCCAACAGTTGATCGCGTGTGATGTAGGACTGATTGTTGACTTATCCACTTCAGGGTCCCACTTGCGTTTCCCTCTCCGGAACGTACGTGAAGGTCGCAACAGCTCACCCGCGCTGTGATTCTGGTCCTCACCTAATATCTGAGGCGTGTGCTTCTTTTTATGTTCGCAGCAATCTTGAGCACAATGCTGCAGAATGTCAAGCCTTGAACACTGTGTAGCGATGCTTTATTGCGAATTCCACTAGTCAGTTAGATTACGCAGTGTAGATATGTGGGACCAAAGACCGAAAATCTCATGCCTAATTATGCTGCGCCATACTGCATTACGGGCCACGCCCTTTTCATGTGATTCTCCCTGGTCGTGTCTAGAAATCCAATGGAAAATTGCAGGTTACCGACCCGGTTACTTAACCGGACCGCCTAGCTTACGTCTATTTGTCGTTGTGTTCCGAGCTTGGTCTTTGTTGAGGTTCGCATAGCACGTTGGGACAACTCTGCTACCGATGCATTGTTCCATCATGGCGCTCGAGATAGCTAAGTGGTTCGTGGGCGAACTTACTGACCGGAAGGTCCGTGGTTCGAACCCAACCTTGGCTTTTCGAGTGCTCGCGTCTAGACTTTGATAACCTTGAAAAATCCCGGCCTCCTTCGTGTAACATGGTAGCCAGACACTGAAAGGGTGTTCGGTTGAACGATTTTCATTGGTACTGCCACTACACTCTACTCTGGCCTCCTTACTTCATGGTTGTATGGCTGTTGGGCACCAATTCTCCTTATACTTCGATTGATGATAAAGTCGCTCTGCTGTAATTGGTGCAGCTGGTGGACCTGAGTTGCGGTGCCTCTTCAATGATGGATGATGTGTTGAACGGCTTCAAGGAGACTTGATTTGGGCACGAAGCACCACAAGTCTGTTGCGCTACACAAACAACCATTATGTAAGAGCTTTCGGCGCTTGCTTATCCGTTATCGATTTGCCATGACCGTAACCCCTGATTAGAGTGGGACTGGACGTATGCCGTCCGCTCTCTTGTCGGCCATCTACAGGTATTTCGACCCGAAATAATGGCTGTTGGGCACCAATTCTCCTTATACTTCGATTGATGATAAAGTCGCTCTGCTGTAATTGGTGCAGCTGGTGGACCTGAGTTGCGGTGCCTCTTCAATGATGGATGATGTGTTGAACGGCTTCAAGGAGACTTGATTTGGGCACGAAGCACCACAAGTCTGTTGCGCTACACAAACAACCATTATGTAAGAGCTTTCGGCGCTTGCTTATCCGTTATCGATTTGCCATGACCGTAACCCCTGATTAGAGTGGGACTGGACGTATGCCGTCCGCTCTCTTGTCGGCCATCTACAGGTATTTCGACACTATCCGAAATAATTCGATCTGGTGCGTCTTCAGATCTCTGTGGAACAAGCACAACGCTGTGGCTGGAACGCTGATTCATGATCTCGTATATAATATTCCTGATAGCATGTGGTCACCTTGATTTATGTAGATATTAGAAAAAAAGTCTAGGTGTGGTCATTCAACCCGTTTTGTTTGCCTTGCGTTTTTTCTCTCAACAGCAGTATCCAAATGGCTAACGGTAATTTGTGTACAACGAATATTCATTCTGCCGCCGGTACTCCCGCCATCCCCGTATTCATCACATTCCACACCAATCAGGGCAACTTCTCATTCCGCGATGTCTTTGGTGCTTTCATCATTCCATCGCTTTCCGCATGCCATCTTACTTGCTTTTTTCCAATTGCCTCTCATTGAACACCATATTGTGCGTGTACTTCGCCATCCAGCCTGATCAGCTTCATTAGACCCCCGTCGCCAACATTTTTATTCGTATTTCGTTCACTTGACTTCTTCTGTCACTAATTGTATAATCTCATTCACTTCATTGATCACTTGCAGTTTCGTAAACCTGACATATTCCTCTTCCTAGTTGTTTACTAACTTAAAAATACTTGATGCCACGCCGCCTCCACGATCCCCACTACCGGCTGGTTGGTCCTTTTTAAAGCAGGAGTTCACAAACCACCCTGACCAAAACGCATGTCTGGTTTCCGGAGCTACACAGTGACGGTTTCATTCAGAATATCTCCCCCGTCCGGGGCAGAGTTTGTCGTCTAACCCGTGTGCCTTCCTGCCGGGGTCTGCGGCGCTCTCCTAGCATTTAGCTATTTGGAAGCAGTAGCCACCATCCACTGATAACGCGTGCAGTTGACCACTTTTCGGAAGACTTTAATGCCTGCACCTCACTGCGAATTTCTAAAAGATTCCCCTGTGTTCCTCACAACGGTTGACCGAATAAGCTAAGTCTGGCGCATGTAATGGGCATCACGATCGCCATAGGGGATTGGTAAACAGTCGCAACTTTCAATGCCTTCCGGTAATCTGGATATCGTCTGCTAACATGGCTTGGGATCCTACCTCGTGTCCCTAGCTTCCTTGGGCGAGTTCTGCTTTAGCCTGATTCTATCCGTTACCACACACGAAGGTCTTATCGGATCCTAGCTATCCCGTCGCTTCAAACGGCGAAGAAAACTTGTTCCGTTTGTTCATGTCACAGGGGCCACAAACTGAGTCACAATGAGCTCGGGACGGCGGGGATGTTCGTAATCACTGGACTGCGATTAAATTGCTATTGTTCACAGTCTCGGCGTCCCCGCGGCAGTTGGTTGATTCTAGATGATATGTATCGCAGTTGCTGACGGGTCATCAGAATATCGATGCCACTCCTAGTCCTTTCGCGTTCACGGGAAAGTGGGACGGTTGGGCGATTAATTGAACGGCACTGTTGCGATAGTGGCGTATCGTACCAACATGAGGAGGACGGGTGGAACACATTCACTTTAAGAAGGACATGGTAAGCGGGCGGTTCAGTTGGATCTCCCGTGGAACCGCACTGGTATGCAACTGAATGACCTTCCCTAATTTCCTGAAGTTTGGGTTCATTTAAAACAAGGTTATGCAGAACTCGGGTGCTGCGCCTATCTGGTGATCCTCAAGAAGGGCGAAACCTACCGTCCAGTAATAAGGGGTTCTCAGCATTTTCATGGGTTGCGTGTCATATCTAGACACTTGAACGGCTTGTTGAACTGCACTATGGGTTACGTATGCCGAACCATCGTTTGCCGAAGAGAGTACTGTTTTCCATGCCCAACTCAGAGTGGCGTAAACAGAGAGGTGGCCAACCCTTGACCTGGCATAGGAGTATGAAGGAGATCACGAAACGCTTGGGTGCTGTCAGTGCTACTCGCCTTCCAGGATGAGGACCGCGTGATCCTTAGTGTGCCTTGTTGGAGACACTACAAGATATGGCTGCCAACCGATGTCAGTGGCGTTCCTGTTGTCAGTTTCTATCCAGATTGCCTGAGTGAGTGTCTGGAGGTATAGGCACCTCAGAATGATTGTGTTGGGCTAGTACTAAGTCCCTCCCCCGTCCACCTTACTCTTTGCCTTTACAATAAGGCTTTCCAATAAATCATGGTTAAACGGTAGTGAAGCATTGGTGTTGAATACTGATGTCATGCTGTCAGTGATGATGACTATCGGTTACCACAAGCGTGGGAGCTGATATGCCCCGGACGCCAACTAGGTCCGTCACGACATTGTAAAGTTTCACTTTATGTGCACTTCATGTCCCTTCCTTTGTGTTGTGCGTGCTTCGTATCCAAGCCAGCCTTTGAACATTCTGCCTCTGTTGGTTTCTTTCAAAACAATCGAACACCATTGATGACCGCTCGTTTTGTTTAAGTGAGCATCGGGTTTCAACGCCTCCACAACGTGTCTCGGGCACCAATAAGGAAAGCCTGGGGTGGGGGATCCACGGCCGTCCTCAAGGGTTGTCCGAAGGCATGCGTGGCCGGCCGAATACAAACGCGGAAGCTCAGTATACCGGTGATTCTCATATAACTTTTGTTCATATGTTTGATATCAAATAAATTGTTAGGAAACAAGTCTGTTTGCTGCCTTCGTTCTTATGGCTTCCACGGGGAGGGGGCCAGTTCTTTCCGTGAGTGTGTTGCAAAGGCCTCACTGAAATGACATGCGTATGTCGACAATTTGTAGCAATGCAGCGCAAACTCTGAAAGTGGTGAATCATGGATGACGCTAGTGGGAGCACTCGACATGAATCGCAAGGGCACAGGGATCAGTCGGTCAAAGTCACAGTACGGACGAATTGGCTGGCAACGGCTTGCTGGTACAATCAGATGAATAAAATTAGAACAAGAAATCCATAGGTAGTGGAGGTAAGAGTGAAATTCCGGACTTTTGAAGGTAAGGGTTCACGCGGAACAACGGAGCAGACATGGAAACAATAACTGTTTTTAGGCCATAAGCTTGTGAATAAGAGCAACCTGTGAGCATTACCTGAAGCGCGGCCGGCTAAGCATGTGGTCATATTTGTGGCAGGGGATCTCAGCAGAAACAGTATGACCGGAGACTCAGCCTTGAGAATTATGAACGTAATGTATATTCCGCTTGATGCACTAAGACCTCTCTGGAGTTCGTGAACTATTGCTTTAGCCGAAGAAAACTGCTAGCATTCGTCACCCCAATACCTGGGTGGCGCGTATCATATCACGTAAGGGTAAATTTCCGAAGGGAAAGGACTATACCAGAAAGCGGTCCCACAAAATATAGTAAGCCTAATAACCATTCTTGATAAAACCCTAAGGTGGTGCTTACTGGTCTGCAGACCACTGAGAGGGTGGAAGACATTGATTCAGAACAGATTCATCCGTCCGACGCTGGCGCCGGCCGTGTGGGAGAGAGTGACGCGTTGCCTCTAAGGTGTGTAGAGACGGAGACTTTCAGGTAGAACTATCGGTGCTTGGCAACCATCCTGGCGTGGTAGCCAAGTGTATCCCATGTACGCTACGAAGTACCAGGTGACTGACTTTCTGAAATGAGAGTTGAAGAAAATTGTTACGGATGGAAAACGCAAAGAAGGATCACGTGACAAAGCCCGTCTAGTAAGGATGTATATCACCATTACTTCCATATAAATGAACCAAAGTGGCGGGAACCATGAACTACGTGCCCTAAAAATTACCTCCCGGTGTACGTCGTATTCAAATGAAAGGCAAATAACCACTTTTCTCACAGAACTTTGCGATAAACGGTTGATTTATGGTTGTACAAGAATACAGGAATAGACGAACTCTTATCGAATGACAAGACAGTTTGCTGCGAAGGATGCACCGACGGCTCCTTTATTATTAACTAGGGTTAGAGTAATCACTGGTAAGACTAAATACATAAAATACTGGTTTCGCTATTTGATGAGACCAAGTAACATTTTGGAAGGCCTTAGAAATGTGCATTTCGGGCTACTAAGCTAACCTGCAAGTATCGATTTGGCATCTGTTATCCAAATGGTGGTTCAGCTGCAATTAGACAGCAAACACTGAAACCGAATAAAACAGGAACAGAATACTTGCGCGTTTTATGATAGAGATTGGACTAACCAATCACCATGGATTTATCGAATACCGATTATAACGCGAGCGAGATGTATGATAACGTGGGTTAGAAGCGGGCTACGCCAAACTACTGCGAACAAGAAATTTTCTGTTATGTTCAGTGAGGTCACTCGTAGGCCCCCCATTCAGTAGAGCCATCATTTTTGAATGTTCGCGCCGCTGAAATTAAATCCAACCAGAATGCGGATGAAGCCACAAGAAACATGATCACCTACCTGAAAAATAACTGGCTCATTGCATGTATGAACGTGAAGGGCAACGACGTGACGGAGGAAAAGCTGGAACAAGGGGACAAACGTTTCAAAAGTTATGTGATTTTAAATTGCAGACGACGGAACCTAGAAAAACGAGGCTTCAGTGTCACCCGTGTTTAGGCGATAAAGCTGAAATGCGGGACCAAAACTGAAAACCGTTACTGATGATGCGTGACCTTGGACTGTTCAGTTGGTGACCAGGATCGTGCAAGGCGCAAGTAGGCATGATAAGGAATCGGCGGTGGCGATTGTCAGAAAATTGTATCACAAAAATTTAGTGGATAAAGTTGCTGATATCGATTGGTTTCATGACGACTACTCGCCCACCAAATAAACTCCGCCATCTGGACATTCTTGATTAATTTTTCAGACCTCACATGTACACCTGGCCACCCTCGCGACTCCTTTCTTCAAGAAACAGTTGATGTACACTCTAGTATACTTGAATTGTGCAACTCGGATATCTCTACCGTCGTCTTCAATTAGTTCGATATCTCCCCGAACATTAGCGCTTTTCCGTTGCAGTAGAAGCTCCCCTGGTCACGTAAGACTCCTGCGAATCATCGTTGCATGTACGATGATTGCGCGAAGAGGACAATGTCATAGTCAGATGGAAGTACTCAATTAAATAATAATAATAATAATAATAATAATAGGTTTCTTCCGCACCTTGTAGGGAACAATGGGCATGAGGTCAGACTAATTCAAAGACTCAGTCGGCTGACATGAACTAGAACTGGAAAAACATTGCTGGCCGTGAGTGAACTTCCCAAGTGAAATTTTTTTCAGATGACAGGCCAGTTTTTTCAACTGTGGTTTATGGAATTGCCAGGTGCATAACTCAACCGAGGCGAGCCCAACACCAGCAGCAACAAACAGAACTCAGCTGTACTTTCACGTTTCCTTTCTCGAATGAACACAAACAGTATGCATCGACGGACGAATGTTTTGACCGCTCATTTTGTGCCTGGCCGAAAACCTCGGGTTTCCAAAATCAATGTTCCCACCCAGACTCGTGTGCCTACCGGGGCTTTCAGGGTAGCGTTTGGGGCTCCCTCTGTGACTATGCAGGAACTTATAGGGATCATGTTAACTGAGGCATGATTGGGCGTCGCAACTTGAAACCTTCGGGCAACAGCACAACGAGAAAAAAGGCAAAACCAAGGAGTCGTGCCTATTAATTCGAAAGTCACCGCGGTATTGGGTACCGAAAAAACTAGAGTATTGGGCAAGAGGTACCAAGATTTTAATGAGGAAGTCGGCTAACATGGACCAAAACTGATATTCATTGTTGGCCACGAGCTTCCATGTGCGGTTACTTAAATGATCAGGGTACAAAAAAACAAAATGGAGACGGAAGAATTCGATGTGGAGATAAATAGCAGGCTTTTTCTGAAAAAGATGGCTTACGTTGCGACTAAGTGGGTTCAGTGGTGTCACCGTTGTAAGAAAGTCAGTTGTGAAAGATAGTTTTGATGGAATGATAGTGCCAATGGACAGGGACAAAGGAACGTCGCGAATTAATTTGAACTTATGGACGGGTAGACTGAAAATGCAGCGAAAAACCAGCGTGAGTGAATCCGAATGACATATTCAGCGGGTTGGAATAAACTCGTTTAAGAGGCGGTTAGGGTTGGGTGAACAGATTGTTCGTGGTCGCAATTACAGGATCTATTTGGTGACTGGTGACGGTCAAGAGTGGAAGCAAAATAATTGCGGAAATGCCATCAGACTGGATACGGCAGCCTCGTGTCATTATTGCATTGACACTTCGGTTTCTGGACAACCACGTGAGAGTCATCAGGGTTGCCGCAACCGGGAAGGGGATGCGCGTTTTCGCAGCAGCTGGATCAGAATGAGACGATGAGATTGACACAGAAAGAGTCAGACTGATGTGAGAGTAATTTTGACTTATTTGAATCACCATGTGGGAGGTAGCTGGGGACCAGCATGACTAAATTATTTGATTGCCAAACGGGGTGGTTGTAGCAACTACAGCCGAAGTTTGAAGTAAAGCGTAGATGCTGTCCAACAGGATAGTCAACCGCGAAAAGCTCGAGGCAGCTGGCACAAATTTTTTCAAAATCAACATATCCTCTTCTAGTTCATGACCGCTTTTTCTCTTAACTTACTGTTCCCCGGGTTCATGCATAGACGCACCCACCTGAAACCAAAGCTTATCAAGCCTTGACGCTCATCTCACTGTGCCAATAAATTTGTAAGACTCAGACACACACGGCCATTGTTTTGAATGCTGAGGATGGAACAGAGTTCGCGTTTCAGACAAGTGACACTACCTTGACTTTATCTAATATTAAGCCTGATCTGCGTCCCATCTATCTAATTCACTCATTGGCGGTTTTGTTCGCTACACAATACCAAGCTAGCTACCATCAACTCCACACTTCTTTTGAAGTTCTATCCCCTAGTGGGGTGCTAACACGTACTCTCTCAATGTCTTGGGTTATTCAGCTACTTTTAACCATTCAGCCAGACGTTACAAATCGCCAGAATCCTCGAGCTCGAAGTTCTTATGTGGAGCTCACTCGATCGTACCCTGCGCATTTTGCGGAACACTCTATGGAAGGTAGTCTTGTGTTTTTCTCACAGTACTATGAGGTTTTCCAGGATATAATGGAGAATTTGCAGTCCTCACTAAATGGTTGTTTGATTACTAGGAGATGCGCGCCACCTTATTACCCGCGCTCTATGGTACACGGACGAGTTTCTTTGCGGTTAAACCTGGGCATCCCGCGGCTCCCGATCCAACAGCGAGTTTACGCCATCGTCTCTTACTGCCAGTTTAATTCACGTTTTTCTCCTTCCGTATTCGCAAAACCTAATAGTGGACCTCTTGAATTACCTTACACAAATTCCTTCACCATGGACAAAAGGTTGTGGAAAACGCCCCCTTTCATATCAGCAACATATACTTTCAAGTCGGCTCTCTAAACACCATCAGTTCCTAACTTTTTCCGAGGAAGCCCAAAGTTTTTATCGCACCGTATCCTATGCTGAAAGTCTATGAAAACGTACTATAGGCATTTATCATCCCTGACTAACTTTTGAATTTTAGGGTGAAGACCTATTTTACTTAACCATTCAGCATCAAGACACATGCAGCAAAGGTTCCTCATCGATGGAGCAGGCATCTACTTTGCTCAAACCACGCAAATACGATCCCGCTTTACTCATGTGTCCGCTGGTTTGGTGACGCTCTGTGGTAACCCCGAGGAACCCGTTTTACCCCCAGTGAAAGATTCCGCACTGACATCAAAGCAGTATTTCACACTTAACTGCAGAAGTCCAACTTACTCCGATTTATTCTATACTTATATGTACTGGATCAGTAATGTGAACCAACCGTCGGTGTTCATAGACGACACACACTTATCTTCGAACGAACTAATCAGGAGTTAACGTTTCTCCAGCCGTATTTTACGCTAGCGTTTTTCACACTCGTGTCGTCACTGATAAATAGTTACCGGACCCACCTGGCTCACCAGTGCTTACCCTATGATGACCGTACGTCCCACCAGCCTCTTGAATTTTGAAACATCGACGGAGGTAGCCAACACACTAGGTGAAATTTTTTGAAAGCAACAGATGGAATTCTACTGGTTCATCCAACAGAAAGACTAAACTGGGAAAGGCACGTCCAGTTTTCGACCGTTCGGCTTATGGCTGTTAAAATGTTGATTCCTTTCCTTTATTTTTTATGTTGCACAACTCGATTCCCCCTTTTGTGTTATTTTGGTCTATGCCTATGCCACCCTTGTTGTTTTTGACCTGAACATAAACCGTTCTTTGACCTTGTCATCGGACGTGTCGTTTAAGTTCACACGTGGTTTCGCTAGCTTGTAAAGACGTGGCTCCGAGTCGGCGTGGACTTTGAAACCCATTAGGAATTAGCAGTTCCTAACCGGTGTATGGAAGCCGGCATAGTCCCATGATTTGAGGTTTGTAAAGCTTTATAATTTTATTATTGTACTAATAGTACCGCATTTGTAGATAAACCTCCATTTAAAAGAATTGCCTTTTGGGGTTTTGCGCGTAACTCGACGTGGTTCAACAGATTGCTGGAATCAATCTATATAAAATGCCTCGACTCGTCCATGAATGGATTTATTGACAGACGTTATTAGGGTTGTAAGATCACGTTAAATAACATAGGAGTTCGCCCTTGCAAAAAAGTCATGCATTGCTTGACGTAAAGGAAGAGTTTCTTCAGAGAGTGAAGTGGTGAATAGTCACCTGGCTTCAAAGTATCCATGGCATGGATGGAGGAAACCGGAAGCCGTTGGCCATACTCTAATGCGTGGCTATGTGCAGCTCCCGGGGCGGTGGATTCAAGCATATCTGAAACTAGTCGTCTGGTCGCTTGTGAATCCAACTCGCAGAACGTACGCTGAATGCATCGTGGAAGCATTCGTCTTTGGGAAAAGGAACTGTCATACCTTGCGATATCTTCGACACCATTTGGGGGCACTGATTTCAAATTGCAAGGAAAAGCAGTTCGTGTTCAACTACTGTAAGTGTAACGGGCGTGGAGCATTTATTCTGCGACAAAACCCACCAATTTAAGGCTCACTGGGCACAAGTAGAACACAAATCTTCCTCATGGATGCGGACCCGGAATGCGCGTGGTGAACTCTCTCATTATTAAAATTGGAATAAATGAGTCCAATGTCTCCCAGATATATCCATTTGGATTATGGGATTGTCAACGGTCAGGACGTGCTGCACAAATACCTCAGCGATTGTGCACCCGGACGCGGATGCGTGCTAAATGGTCAGTTTCTGGACACAGAACAGTGCGTGAAATCAAGCATTACAACTGTAAATACAAGGTCAGTCGGCTTAAAGAAAAAACACTAAAATGTTTCTCCGGACAATCAATATGGTGGAGGAGAACGTAAACGGATCAATCACAACCCTGGGGCAGAGCTGTCCGATTGTAAGCATCGGGCGAACAAACCAGATGAAAGGAAATTATGCCAACCATAACTCGGATTTCTAGTTGACCAAACCCGTTGAGTTTATTCGACCTTGCGGTCAGCCAGTCATATTTCAACTTCCGGATGATGTTTATAGAATATATAAGCGCTCGCAGAAGAGAGATTCATCCATATAAACAGGCAATGACGTTGTCAGCGTGACTGAGGTCGAAACTTTTGTGATGAAGTTGCCCAATTCAGGCAGACAAGCTAACAATCAAGAGGCACTGCTCTCCCCATTCCGCAACTTAACTGCAAAAGGAAGGAACCTGAGATCTCCCACTCAACGTGCTAATTCATGCAAATTCTGGCAACTCATTATGCCTAGAAGACCACTGAGCAGATCGCATCCTGCCAAAGTTAACGGACGAGCAATCAAGTCACGGCAAACCTCACACTCCGTGAAGAACATAATTTTGCGGCACCAAAAAGCCGTCTGCCACTCGAATAACTCTATAAAACAACAGAATAGGAAGCCAGGTTTCGTGCACTGCTTCTCCACCCCAAACAACTGACGCAGTCTTCGTCACCATCTCTTAGAAAATTAGTAGCACCTGGGGTGCAATGAAGAACAGAGCGCGTAGTTGTACAAATAACCAACCGAAGAAAAAAGGATGGCTGAGATTCTCAATCGAGCAGCTAACGCATGGGATGAGCTCGATGAACGGAACTAAATATCCAATCCACACACCTTTTAGAGTAAAAATTACCACGAGGTATCGTGAGATTTTCACCATAGAGTTGAACCGAGGAAGTGATAACTGGCCCGCTGGAGCTGATTACCCAAATTGGGTTGCGAAACATGGGGTCGGACTTGAGGTATGAAGGCTTTATTGAAATTTTTCTTGGCAAGAAGACCAAAAACAGAATAAAAGCAGGGCGACGTTAGGGGGAAAATATTCCAAACGATAAATCGGGAAAGGAAGATGGGCGCATTTACAGGAGAATAATATAGAAGTTCGGGAATGCAAGTTAGCAATGTGCACCGGATTTCGACAGAGGCCATCTGTGTTCAGTGGCAAACATGCATTGAATTCCTCCTTCACAGCCAACAAGGAGCTTTGGTTCGTTGGCGAAAGTCGGGAAGAATTCGGGAAGTCGTCTTACGCCTTACATTCCTTTCGATGCTCTGTATTCGTACAATGGAATTGAATATTTGAAAGCTCCGATGTGTCCCTGTTTGGGTAAAAGATAAAAGAAACTGAGTTCAAATTACGAGCCTAGTCTTTAGTGTCCCATCTAGGCATTCCGAGCTCGCAGCGATGCCGGGAAAATATTCCATCATATCTTTTTCGCCAGAGTTAAATGGCTTCATTAAACAATGTAATTCGTTGAGCTGCGAAAATATGGATGTAGATTGGAGTGGTTTTTCGTTTCAGCAGATATACATAAAATGCAAAATTCTTGCGTAAAACGTTTTATCCCACTGGGAAAGGTTTTGCAGCTAACAGCATTGTACAGTTAACGGGCCCCAGTCCGTGCTGGTACCGGCATAATGTTTGAACAACGCGCTTAAGCAAGACCGCGAGGTAATGCACGTTGTAATACACACACCCGCGTGATGTACCTGAATGCCGCGTGAGGTTCCCATTACGGGAGAAATGCAAAAAGACGGGAAATAGTCTACCTGAAATAAGCTCAATATTTCGTGACCTGGCAATAATTCATTTTGTTTAAGCAAGTCAAACTTTCATGGCCTCTTTACCCGCGTAGTTGAAAATCAATTTGTTGGTTCACGCGCTTAGTCAAACTCTTGAGCGATCAAATAATGTTCTTCTGTCTCTCGTACGCGCCACAGACGAAGTGCGCAAACAGATATCAACGTGAAATTTCTGAAATAGCGAATGGAATGATGCTCCCTTGATCTAGATTCAAGGCTATGGGAAATGTAAATGTGAATCCATCTTTCAACTTCCTAGTTGATCCATGATCTCTGGTATACGATTGCATGGACATCGGTTTCCAAAAATGGCCTGCAGTGAAAACAGTCACTTCTGTCGTTCAGATGATTTCCTTCATGATAATTTTTTGGCGGTTGCGAGGCAATCGCTGAACACTAAGGACTGACAATATCCCCACGTTTGACTACTTATTGCTGAGAAAAATCACGAGAAGCCGACCAATTTTAGAAGCAGGGGTGAAATATTCCAATGTTTTCGAGTGAAGAAGGCACAACTGTACCCCGATAACGTGAAATTGCACATGACAAATAATGGTCGAACTCCAGATCCGACAGACGTAGGTGGTCATACATTTGAAAGCCCCCAGGGCTAATGAATCACTATAATTCCATCAGGACATTATTCGTGTGACATATCCGTTGTTTCCCAACCAGCCTTTTGAGCTAAATGGAATTGTTCTGGTTGGCGCACCTACACAATATCGCGGTTCATAGACGGGCCTGTCCACTGTTATTGTATTAAAAAACCGGAGGAAAAATTGTGTATGCAGGACAGTATATGCCCAGAGGCCAGGAATTAACTCAATTAACTGATGTGCGACTCACAGAAAAAAAGTGCAAACCCGCTGGCGAATGTTGTTGGAGGAAGTTGATCTTGGCTATGTTATCCAGTCGTGGTTTTGTGTTAGGAAGCAAAAAGATGAACATGCCTTTATCTACGAGATGGAACAGTATCGTACCGTGGAATCAGAAGTCAACTTCCAGTGGAGGAATTGTAGGGGATAA